TTGCATTATCAAAGCAGAGTGGAAATTTGTTTAATTGGTGCTGCATCTCAGCTACTCAGGAGTTCAATCTGCTTCTCCTTTACAAATGTTGCTTAATGTTACCCACTCAGATTCCAGCACGACTAGAGACATCAGAATTTCTATTTTATGGGCTAAAGTGATTTTTGCATGACTATATATTTTAAAATACACTTAAAATGTTTCTATTACTCAAGCTAAAGTAGCTTATCACTATATTTTTACTTACAGCCTTTCTGACATTGGGGCCTTATGTTTAAGGGGAACAAACCTTTAATGCAACATTAGAAATGCTCAATGGCTTTTTGAAATGTTAACTATAATGTTGCTAAGGTAGGAATTAAATTAAGTATGAAGAATCATCAGAAATATAAAATTGAGAAGCACTCTAAGTAAAAATGTTTAAATGAAATGGTCCAATTCTTTATAGATATAAAGGTCATGACAGAAGTCAAGGTATACTTTTCTATCCCTTCTTTGGTTCCTCTGCTCACCTCCCAGTCTAACAGAACCAGAACAGTTCTGTCCTGCCACATTTCCAAGACTTCTGGCAGTCTGTGCAGAGGTCAAGGCTGTAGGTAATTTTCAAATAACATGGGACATAAACCTGGTTAGAAACGGGCAGAGGGCTTTCAGCTTGCCATGCTGACGGGTCCTGGGTAGAACAGGGGCTGATTACACCTGGAGCTAAGTAAATATTTATTGAATGAGTGAAGAAATGATATTTCACATTTTAAATAACATGACATAGAGCTAACTGCTTTCTCTTTCAGTTTTGTTGGATTTGTTTTGGTCTACATAGCCCAGATGGGTTTCAAATTTGTCATTTTCTTGCTTCAACTTCCTGAGTGTCCTTAAGTTTTGAGAACAAAGCAAGGACTGGTTTTCATTTTCTCATTTCCTCCTCTGCACTTCAATGCTTTAGAAACTGACATCTTCCTGAGACAGGGAGTTCAGGTTTCCTTATTCTGCCCCAGCAAGGAGTTGCTTCTCCTTGACCTCTGCACAGCTTTCTGTTCTGTGGAATAAAACAATAGCAAAACTAGGTGTGTGAGGAAGTGATATTTTCATGTGACTTTCTGGTGAATGGGACTGGTGGCGTGGGAAGTGTAGGAACTGGCCGTGCCTGTATTGGCAGATGGCTGTGAACAAAGTTCCCAAGCCTGATGAGTGCTTTCCAGTTGGAAATATTAAACTGCAAAGAACAGAAGGGCTGGGGAAGGGACAATGTTCATGTATGTGCTGCAGCTGGCAGGGAGGGCTGCTTCAACAGGCTTCTGTGGGCAGCTCCTGGGCACATTTTAGCAGGGCATTTATATATCTAGGATCAGCCCCAGGGCTATCAAAGCAGCCGCGTGCCATGGAACACTGATTCTGAACACATCTCCTGGTCTGTGAAAGGAACTTCTTCAGTTCTATTTGTTCCAGGAATGTGGAACCTTTTCTCCTTGCTTAAAAGCAGAAGGGCCTCTTCCTCCTCCTCTTCCCTCCTCCTCTCCTGCTCATCCTCTTCCCTCTTTTTGAAGTGCTGGGAATCAAATCCAGAGTCTGGCATGGTAGACAAGTGCTCTATCACTGAGTTACAGCCCAGCCCTTCTTAAATGAAACTTAGTTGTATATTATTCTTTCCCTTTTTCAGAATGCAATTATTTTCCCTTAAAGGTGGATATCAAGAAGTGTGTATGGTCCTGGGGACCCACAGATTGGGTGTGAATGTCATCCCTTCTTGACTCTGGACCACAATTAAAGTATGCTTTCTAAAGGGTGTTAAAAAACCACTTAGATGTAAATGATGATGGGTTAAGTAATTTGGGAAGCTTTCATGTAACTTTTAGAGAATGAAATTTTAATGTACAGACATCTGTTGATTCATCACAAATAATTGATTTAAATAATTAGAATTTTTTCTTTTAAAAACATAGCTTTATCTCTAAATCACTGAGGTAGAGGTCAAAATGTAAATATCCAAAGCCACAATGTCACTGTGTGTGTATCAAGATTCTAATTGTCTATAGAATCTGAGTATCTTATCTGAATGCATTGCTGTGGGTAAGTGACCCAGGCCTCAGAGTAGAACGGAATAAACACTTTTGAGGTGCTACACATCCATAAATCCTTCCTTTGGTTGATAGCAGTGGATACTTAGAGGTGACCAGAACATAGTTTGTGCTGACAACAATACAGTGCTAGTTTGTACCACAGATGCTACATGGTACTTGTAAGTGCTATGGCAACTGCCAAAGCTGTAAAGAAAATTCCTTTGATTTGATGCCTGAGGGAACTGCTTTTTTCATATCTCTATTGTGGAAGACTTGTCACATGCAGAGTTCACTAATATACCACTAAGATGACTGCTTTATGTTTATGCAATATGTTGTATAGGAATTTAGAATTCCTGGTTCTAAAGCACCAGGACCTCAACCCCAGTAATCATGTAAGCACAATCCGCCATTGCTTTCTGGCCACACGTGTCACACTGCTTCCTTCTCTTGCAGTCAGGATGCTTTACAGCTGATATCTTCTGAGAGCTATAATCTCTTATCCTGAGTTGTTAGTAAACTCATAATTTTGCCATGATGCTACATTTCAAGCCATTTCTCCTGTCTCCAAACAATCCCTCTTTTAGCTGCTCAGGCATGTTGGTGGATGGGTCCTCCTGAGCAATTCCCTGTCCTTCAACTGCTGTGCAGTCCTCACCCAATACCTTCACATTTTACTTCCTCAAGATCTTTCTGATCTGGCATCCTTTTCTCCTCCATCACCACACTCACAGATAATGCAAGAGTCCTCTGAAGTGTCCAATCTAGGGTAGAGTTGTACTTTCCAGGGCTGGAGGAATGGAGGGGTGGTGAGGGCTGTCAGGGGCAGCCCAGCCTCTATTCCCATGCAACACCTTTGGTGGAATTGGTCCTGAGGCAGGAGAATCCTGACATGGTGGAAGTGCATTATGGGGCTTGAGGGTGGGCCAGAGGGCCTCTGGCAAAGGTGAATTGAGAGTGAAAGAAGAAACTAAAAATAAGAAAAACTGAATCTCATCTTCAGCCACATATTTACCAGTTCTGCCACTCTTCATTTTTTTTGTGGATCTGAATTTCCATCTGATGTCATTTGCATCTGTTGGAAGAATTTCCTTTAACATTTTTTACAGCAGAGATCTATGTTGGTAGATTTTCCAGCTTCAGTTTGTCAGAAAAAGTCTTTACCTTAACTTTTGCATAATATTTTCAGCAGATGATATTCATTTTCTTTTGGCACCTTAAAGATTTTGTTCCATTGTCCTCTGCCTTCTATAGTTCATTGTGAGTCTTGTGTTATTCTCACATTTGTCCCTCTACATGTAATTTTTTTCCTGCTTTTGAGATTTTCTATTTAGCATTTTTAAAGCAAATTTATTATAATATGACTTAATGTATATACTCTGGCTTCTTGACCATGTGGAACATATTTACAGTGGATGTTTTAAGGTCCTTATCTGCATGCTCAACATGCAGGCTATCATTGAGCTATACTCCCAGCCCCCTTGTCTGCTAATTCTATCATCTGTGATTGTTTTTTAACTACTAATTTCCTCCTGGTTATTAGTCATATTTTCCTGCTTTATGCCTCTTTTATTTTGCAGTGCTGAGGATAGCACCCAGAGCCTTTCACATACTACCACTGAACTACAATCCCCAGCAAATGTGCCTGATAATTTTTGATTGGATATTGGTCATGGTGACTCTTACACTGTTCAACAATGCATTCATTTAAAGTGTGTCACACATTGTTCTGACACAGTTAAACTCTTGTAGAAATTTGGTCTTTTCAAGTTTATTTTAAGCTTTGTGGATCCAGATGGGTCCACATCAGATGGATTCAGATCACATTTAGTCTGGGCTTATTTTAGCTCCAGTTAAAAGTTGAGAAACTTCTGAAGAGTTGACCCAATGCTCCATGTACCACAAAAAATTTTTAATTACAGTTAGTGGGGATGAGAACTATTTCTAGCCCATGTGAGCTTAAAGAATTGTATGCCCAGTGGCTCTTTCTCCATGCATTCACAGAAGCATTTGGTCAAAGACCACCTGTGGCCCTGCAGTACCCCGTCTATGCAACTCTTATCTCTCTGGTACCTTCTTTCTCACAATTCTACACATCTCAGCCTCCTTAAACTTCAATCTCTTTATCATTTCATTCAATGAGACTAACAGGCTCCCCCCGGCTAAACCAGCCCAAACTCTCCATCCATGCAAGAAGCTGGAGTGATCACAGATGACTCAATTTTCTTCTTCTTTTAGGCATCACAGTACTGCGTATCTGCTAGTCAATGCCCTAAGCACTTTTTCTGTATACTTTGCTGGATTTTCCATGACAATTATCCTTTGTGAGTAGGTACAGAAGTCCCTTACAGTAGTTTTACATTTACTTCTCTAGGGCCCCAACATTGACTATTTTCATATGAGTATTCTTGGCTTGGGAGTTCTACACTATGTGGTGTTGTAAATGTATGAAGTACTGACTAGAGTCTATTAATTCCTCCCCTCCCAGAACAACCTCCAAGTAGATGGCAACCCTTGGTGCAGCTTCTCTGAATCAGTTGGTGCTAGGTGAAATTAGTATTATTGCATTATGGAGTCTGTGTATATTTGATTTTTATGTACCTGGAATGTATTAGACAGTTTAGCCTAGTAACAGCTTAGGTTTGTGATTCTAATTTAAAATGTTTTATTGTGCTGAATATGATGACTCATGCCTCTAATTCCAGCACTTGGGAAGCTGAGGTAGGAGGATTGTGAGTTCAAGGCCAGCTTTAGCTATATAAAGAAGACTCTGTCTCAATAAACAAACAAAAAACCAAAAGAAACAAAGTTTGTGATTTGTATTGATCCAAATATGTATACAAAATGAGAACATTTAAAAGAGCCCCCAAATTTCCGTGTTTATATATAATCCAGTGGATAATTAAAGTTATTAAGTTCTTGGGAAGTTTTCATTTAGGTAAAATAATAGTAGTTAATTAAAATGGGAAGGAAATACTTTAATTGATGAGTATAGTTTAACAAATTAAAGGGGAATTTAATTATACTATAGAAAGCAGCCCTAAATTTACTATTTTTAATGATTAGATTTTGAAATGAAGAAAAATTATAAAGCTGAACTTTCAGGGCTTAGGAAAGTCTTAAAATGTATCACTTGGCTGTATTACATATTAATTTTTATAAAACTAAAGTAACTTTTGTGTTCTACTATGACCCTCTGTATACCAACAGCCCAAGTCACAGATCTATAACTTCTTGTGTGCTTAAAAAGTAGCATCAGCATCATTAAACCAATGGCCCTATAATTTTCAATTATATTTTTCCATTTAAAAATAGAAGCTTTTTACCTAAGCTACTATTAGGTAGCTAATGTTATTTGGTCATTATAGTGGCTGAAATAATTCTTGGAACCATTTTATTGAGAAACCTCATTACAGAGAGCTCTGAATATGACTTGTCTTCTCTCTCATGGCAACCAAGTACCACCAAGTCCCTTTGGCAGATGGCAAGGATCTTTGTGAGAACACACTTTGACTTCATATGTTTTCACACAACTTCAGAATTTAGAATATACAGTTCCAAATTTTGTTTTCATATGATTTAACATCCTTTTTGCTTTTTCTCTAGTTTGTGTTTTAGTAGGTAGAACTGCAGGACGGAGTGGCAGGCTCTTCTCCCACATACACCATTTCTCCCTCTTATGTGGGATGCATTGGTGGATCTTTGCAGAGTTTTAGAGGCCTCTCTCCTAATCAGCATCTTAGCATGACCCCTTTCTCCTTCTTGACCCCTTTCTCCTCTCTCTGGCTCCCTGGCAAGTGTCCATTTAAAGGCCTTTTCCTTCTGGTGCCCTTGACCAGAAGTAACCATGTTACTGAGACAGGGAGAACTTCAGACTGTTCCTGGCCAGACTGCCTGGTTCCCAGAAAACTTATTTAAGTTGTATATTAGTCTGTTTTTTCATTTCTATAATGAAATACTTGAAGCTGGGTAGCTTAATAAAGAGGTTATTTAGCTCATTTTTGGAAGCAGAAAGTCTAAGATTTGGCAACCCTATTGGCTTGGCCTTTGGTGAGGACCTAACAGCAGATAGTGCCATGATGGAGTTCAGGTGGGGATGAGTGGTCGGTCACATGGCCAGACAGGAAGGCAGAGAATGATTTAGGTCATAACTCATTCTTATGCAAACTAACTCAGTATGCCATGAGAATTACTTCAGTCCCTTCTGAGGGCAGTGCCCCCAATGACCCAAGGACCTCTCACCAGGTCCTACCTTTTAAAGAGCCTACTACCTCTCACCTCACCACACTATGGACCGAATCTCCAACACTTAAGCCCTCAGGGGACAGACTGAAACCATATCTGAACCAGAGCACTTGCCATGGCCAAGTGAGAACACAACATCTCGCTCTTGCTTGGTATTCTGTGTGATAGCCCAGCATTGGACATTCAGCTGGACACGTTAAGAGGAGAGGCAATTTCCAGTCTTGAACTTTTAAAAAGAGAGGTGATTAGGAGCCCTCCAAACTATGTAAGGGAGTCTCTTGCTTCATCCCCTATTGCTGTGGTTTGACTGTGTGCCCAAAGTGGATGTGCTGGGAACTTAGTCTCCAAAGTCCAGTGTTGAGAAGCAGACCTTTAAGAAGTTATTTTAGGGCACTGTTCTTGCGAATAGATTAATGCAGTTATGGTATGTGGGAGGAGTGGTTTAGCTCCTTTGAGAGTGGGTTCCTGATAAAAAGGGTGAGTTTGGTCCTTTCTTCCTCTCCTCTGTGAGCTCACCCCTACCCTTCCCCCTTCTGCCATGGATGATGCAAATGCCAGTTCTTTGATCTTAGACTTCCCATCCTCCAGAACTACAGAAAATTCATCTCTTTTCATGATAAATTACCCATTCACAGGCATTCTGTTCTCGCAGCACAACAGACTAAGACACCTACCCAGGGCAGGAGAAACGAGGGGGAAGCTCTTCACCATCACTGTTTCCTCCATGGGGGGGCTCTCTGTGTGTGTGCGCACATGCGTCCATGTGCACCCATGTTTTGTTTGTGTGTGGTGTTGGGGGAGGGACCACACCTCCCGAAGCAGCTGCTGCTTGAGCAGCAGCAAGCCTGCTCAGCAAGCCTGGCAGAGTTCTCTGAACTTGGAGGGAGGGTGCATTAGTGCCTTTTATTCTTAGCTGTGGGCCCTTAGTTGCCAATTTTGGCACAGGATACCTCACACCACCTTTCACACTTAATGGGCATATTATATACAGTGACCTTGATATCTTAACTGTGGAATTGGATGGATTGTATGGTAAATGGCCAGCTGTGCAATCACAGTGTGATTTCAGGTCTCTGAGCTTCAGTTGACCTCTGATGACTTATGTGATCCTGTGCTGGAGGTACTGCTTTAGTCAAAGGATATGAATTACAAGGCAGCTACAGCAGTGGCAAGGAAGGGATGGCAGTAGCTCTGATGGAGCAGCAACGCAGTGAGAAGCAGAGCGACGAGGGGGAAAGGAAGGTGGGAGACTGTTTATTCATACCGAGGAGATGCCAAGTCACAAAGCTGCCAACAGAAATGCACATCGCTATTGAAACAGCACACCAACCACACTGATGGCCTTAACAGCTTGTTTCCATTTTTGACAGGATGTGGAAATATGACTGCAATCCATAAGGATTTGCTGGTAAAACCTCACTCAATCCAAACTCTGCACACAACACATTCGGCTGCCCTCTGGCCGTCATTCATTGTCCCTCCAACAATATTCTGGTCTTTTGCTTGAAACCATTTCCTAGTGCTTGCACTACCAATGGTGTTTTCTCAACACATAATTTGTAGATGAAGAAAAACTATTTAAGTGTCACTAGTTGGTGCTTTTTTAAAAAAATATATGAACAAAAGATTTGACAATTTTCCCCTCCAAATCAGCACACAAACTAAGAAGGAGAAACCTCACCCACGAAGACCTCCTTGTCTTTAGCCTAAAGCATTCACGCAGCAGCAGTCTGCTGATCTTGGCTCAGCAGGCTCTCCTCTCTCCTCTACCCAGTCTCCAGTCACTTGGACTTCTTGTTGCCTTTCTGGGACTCAGACACGGCCTTCCTGGCCTCCTCCTCTGGGATGAACACGCTCACAGTGAAGTCGCTGATCTCTGAGCCGAATTTGTTCTTCACCACCAACCCGTACTTGCCCGAGTCGGCTGTGCTTACACCCATGATGGCGAAGTACACTATCTTCCCAGACTCGTACTTGAGGCTGCAGTGGTCACTGGAGACCAGTGGCTTTTCATTCTTCAGCCAGGAGACCTCTGGAGTCGGGTCACCCCACACGTTGCAAGTGAGATTAAGAGCCTGCAAGACAGGTTTTATGGAGGAAAGGGGGTATATCAGATACAAGAATCCAACTTCAAGAATCTTGCTGGCTGGCTGGTGGTGTGGACTGACCAGATGGAAGATAAATCGAAACCTCCCTGCCTGGGGTGGAAAGTAGTTCTGCATCTGCTTCTGTGTGAATTACAGTTTGCGATGACATGTGAAAAGGTTTCTTTCAGATAAAGGCTTTTGGGTTTCTGAAATGCCCATCACTGAAACACTGGCAGGAGCTCTACTTGCACACCCTATTTCTACTTTCTCCTTCATAAACACACGACGCCTTTTGCTGTGATGTGGCACCCCAGGCTGTCTGGGTATAGAAATCTCCCTGGCATAATCGCCACCTGCTCACTTGTGCAGCAGAATTAGAACAGCTGCTCCAGACATTGTGACTCATTTTCCTCCTCCTTCTCCCTCATTTTTACTTTGCTCCCAGAACCCCATTCAATCTGTGACAGTGCTCTGCTAAATGTATCCTAAATAAAATATTCTGGTCATGCTGAAAGACTCTTATTCTAAAACATTGACATTTAGGCTGCATTGTTACTTTACCTTACTTTTTTATTGAAAAAAATTTAGACAATTGTAGTTTCACATGTAGTTGCAAAAAGCAATACAAATGATAGTGTGTACCCTGTCCCCTCTTCCCCCAGTGGCAATATTTTACAAAACTATTGTACAGTATCATAACCAGCACATTGGCATTGGTACAACCTACCGATCTTACTTAGATTCCCTTAAATTTCTTTGTACTAATTTGTTCTATTCCATTTTATCACTTGGGCAGGTTCTTATACTCACCACCAGAGTCAGCATACATAATATTTCCATCACCATATCCACCGCCTCTCTCCAACCTCTCAACCCTGCTCCTAATTCCTCTTAGGAATCTGTTTTCCATTTCTAAAATTTTGTCATTTTGAAAATGTTATATAAATAGAATCCACAGCATGTAGCCTTTCAGGACTGCCTTTTTGACTTAGCGTAATTCCTTGCAGATGCACCCAAGTTACTGCAAGCATTGATAGCTTGGCCCTTTTCATTGCTGAATAATATGCCATGGTAGGTAAGGGTCTTCTGCTTTGTTTTCAGTCTGGGGCTATTATGAATAAAGCTGCTATGAACATTTGTGTACAGGCTTTGATGTGAACATAAATTTTCATTTCTCTGGGATAAATGCCCAGAGTCACAATTACTGAGTTGCATGATTCATTCTTTTTTTTCACAAATGGCCAAACCATTTTCCCAAGAAGCAGTATAATTTTGGTTTTTCATTTCTACCAATAATGTACAAATTACTCAGTTTCTCCATATCTTTACCAGCATTTGTCACTGTGGAGGTTTTGCTATTCTGTATCTTTTTTTTTTTTTTCTTTTCTGGCATTAGGGTTTGAACTCAGGGTCTCTTATGCAAGTACTCTATCACTTGAGCCCCACTCCCAGCCCTTTTTTGCTTTTAGTTATTTTTCAGGTAAGGTGTTGTGCTTTTTCTCCAGGGTTGGTCTCTGACCTCAGTCCTCCTGATCTATGCCTTCTGAGTAGCTGGGATTACAGACATGCACCATCATACCTGGCCTCCATTTTTTATTACACAGAAATTCTGATAGCTGTGTCATGATACCTCATTCTGGTCTTTCACTTCATTTATGGCTAATTATGTTAAATTTACTTCACATTTAAAATTCTATCCTTGCATTTATTTCTTACTAAAATTCAGAAATTATGAGGAAAGAATTAGACAAGAAAAGGAATATCTTTTGAATATCTTTCTAATGGGTCTTTTGTGAAACTGGTCAGATTAAGAAATCTGTCCCATCATTAGTTTGCATTAATTACCATCATTAATGAGCATTTCTTATTGAATTATTCTACAAGTATGTTTCAGAAAAATATGAATTATTTCCAATAAGCTTATCTGAGTAGACCAGATATATAATTTTGGAAATTATGATTTGTTGAGGTTAAAGCTTAATTAAGTCAAACAGAGGGCTGGGAGCAGGTTCAAGTGGTAGAGCATCTACCTAGCAAGCATGAGGTCTTGAGTTCAAGCCCTAGTACTACAAGACATAAACAAATAAACAACAAAAACCCACACCCACATATAACCCTCCTCCCCAACAACAACAGAAACAAAACCAAAAAGTAAAAAAGAAACTCCCAAATTCCTTAAACATCATGGGAAATTTGTACCTATATTTTAGATTTGAGCTGTAGATTACAAAGTGCTCTCACATAAATTCTCTTTCTTAGTTCTCACTACTACCCAGTGAGTTCAATCTCATTAGGTGAGAAAAATAGAAATGAGTTAAAGAACAAAAGCAACCTTGCAATGGTTAATTTAAAGTTAACTGTGGTATTTTCTACCCATGAAGAAATGCAGCTACATGGAACCTATGTTTCACTAAAGCATTTCAATATGCTTTGTTTTGTTACTTGAGTTCCAAACACCCATCATAGGCCTCCCTGTTCTTCGAGGTCAAAAAGGTCTGCTCCACTACAAATCTCTCTATCCCTGTGACTTGTGTATTAAACTTGCTTTATTTTACTTTATTAGTTTTTTGAGACAGGGTCTGGCTATGTAATGCAACTTGGCCTGGAGCTTGAGGTACTCCTGCCTTAGCCTCCCGAGGGCAGGGATTACAGGTCTGTGCTACCACATCTGACTTAAAGGTGTTTTACTGTCACAGGAATGAAGACAGTGAATACATATTAGAAATTATGTTCTTTGTGTCGCAGAATATCATAATGGAACTAAGAAATGCCAGTTTAAAACCAAACTGAGAGCAACCAGTTTTCAACAGAAAGAGGGCCAATAGACATTTATGGCACAGCATGACTCCCAGTGGAGGCCAGCACTCAGGAGTACGTATGCTTCCCACTGTGTGTTAGAGGACATTTCTTTATTCTATTACATTTGTTTAGAGTTCTGACTGTATATTTTCACTTTCTCATGATTGTAAAAGGTGACACGGAGAAATACTTAGTGGTCTAGCGATATATACACATATCTCCACATGAGACAAACTTTTGTCCTGATGCTCAGCTTCCAAAACATTATGGTTGGAAAACTGACTGTATTTTTAACCCCATGTTCAGGTATTTTGGCCAAGTAAAGCAGCCATTGACTAAGATGGAGATGATGGATTAAGAAGGGACACATTCTGGGGGTGCTGGGCCTTGCTCCTAGTGTGGAAGCTGGACAAAGATGCTCCATACTCACCTTGCCCTCCTGGATGGTGACCACATCAGGGAGCCCGCCCAACACCCGGGCGCGATCTGCAAAACAGGCATCTCCGGTTAATCACTGTGGTGACAAGTGCCAGCCATCACGCTCACAAAAGCACTCCAAGGCACACTTCCCAATTTAGTTTTTCCCCTCCTGACAGTGATTTTGTACTGTTTTCAGTGTGCAAAATAAGAAAATGATCCAGTGATTCTGGACTTAATTCTTCTTTGTCCACATATTCATGTGTATGGGTGCCCATACTTGTGCCTAAAATACCAGCTTGGGATTGCTCGGTCACACTGAGACCTGCTTTACAATTTTCTTGGCTATTTTCATCCCTGACCCTTCTACAGCTGAGTGGGATTAAGCTCAGGAGGCAGAACAAATCTTTTTTTTTTCAGGCTTAGGGTGTGAACTCAGAGCCTCAAGTTTGCTAGGCAAGTGCTCTACCACTTGAGCTATGCCCCTGCCTGGCGTGGCCTCTTTCTGGGTTTTCCTGTGGTGAATATTGGTTGTACAATGGTTGCTCTGGAGGTTTGTGCAGGGGTGGGTGCTCTTCAAGGCCACCCTGGACAGCTTCCTTTTTTTCTCTCCCACTGGTTTTTGGCAGTACTGTGCAGGACACTTGTTTATGGCTGAGTATAAAGACCCCAGATGAAGGGACACAGGATGGGTGCTAAAACGCAGGGCTGTGCCCTCATCTAAGCCATGTGCTCTGGGTGTGACAGCCTGACTCCCTGGAGACATCACCTTTCTGTGATACACTGTGAGGCATCTTCTTTGGCACTACATATGGCCACCAACCTCTCATTTAGGCCTACAATTAATTTGTGACTCTTGACTCTTGTTTCTACAATTCCTTCTCTATGGAATCATGCTAAAACTCTGAGAAGGATTCGCCTTTATTCTACTGTGGGTTCTATTACATCACCTGTGAGTCTGTTCCATCACCCTATGTGACTTACTGTGTGCTATTAGTCCAGTCATCTTGCTGGGTAGGCTTCAGCCTCCTGGATGTAGAATGGATGGGGGTGGGGAGTTGCATCAGATCGTGGGCATTATTTTTACAAACCCACTCCACAGCATCTGTGAGATTCCCCTGGGGGGAACTCAGAGGAGGTGGAGAATGAGGCCACGGTTAGGATGGTGAGGCCCCATCCCAACTTCAGTTAAAAGTAGCTCAGAATTACCTGCTTTATGGATTGGATCTGTGTGGAAGACTTTGTATGAAGTATTCTACGGCTTGTAAAAGTATAAATTTCAGAGCCAGAAGAGTCCTAAGGCCTCTTCTAGCTCTCATGAATGAATGACCTGGACATAGGAGTTCAAGGCTTGGGAGAGGCAGGAAACTGCTCATGTGGCCTTTGCTCAGTGCACCCAATTGCAGGAGGGACATCTTCCATACCAAACAAGAAATGAAGCCCCAAGAGCTCTGGCACCTCCTGCCATGCTTCTATGCCCTGGCCTCTGGCTTCTGGAGGACCTAGAGTCACTGACCAGGGAAGGGTGACTTCCCTTCTCACTCTTCCTGGTTCCCTCTAATTCCAGCTCAGAATCAACTCTACAATTTTAATCCATGACAATTTTACAATCATCCCCTACACTGAGAAAGAAACCAAATTAGTATGATGGATTAGTCATAGACTCCTAGGGCCCTGCAGGGCTGTTGGACAAACAGCCAACAGAAGTTAGTAGTGAGTCCATTTCTGAGTATGCAGACTGGACAGGTTGGTGTGTGTCCACATGGGTGTGCCCAGTTCAATGACAGTAAGAAGTAAGAAAGGCCTAATTTGGCAGCTTTCACTTCACAGGAGTTCTCAGAAAAATGCACTGTATTTGGTGGGGACAAGTTACAATAATTACTTGCTATCAAATTGATCATGTTTCTTTTCTTTAATGTCTATAATTTTGTCTGATACATTGTGCCTCTGAGAGACTGACAACCTATTGTGTGATTGTAACCAAGAGATTTTTTTAGGCTGTCTGAGCGGCAGGGAAGTAAGAGCCCACTGACATTCTGACAATGTAATCTGAGACCTTCTTTCCACAGACTTTTTCATAGGTCTAAAATGAAAACATATACACAATATCTAAGATTTAAAAAAGAAAAAGGAAAAGAAAAAAATCCATTCTCACTCTCCTCCATCTGCAGTTATAACAGCAAAATGAAATTATATTTCAAATCTGCTCTGGCAGTAAGTATGATGAAGTTGGGCTTCATCAAATGCTTTAAGAGAAAAAAAAAAAAAAAGAAAAGTTAGCATTTTCTCTTTTTTAAATAAGTGCATATTAATTGTACAATGTGAGGGGTTTCAATGTGATATTTCCAAACATGTATATAATGTACTTTGATTATATTCATCCCCTCTATTATTCTTTCTTATCCCCCTCCCCACATTGCCCTTTTTAATCTTTCTTACTATTTTTAAAAAATGGGGTTCATTATGACCTTTTCATACCTGCCTTCAATGTACTTTGATGGTATACTACCTACCCCCCTTTTGCTGATGATGCACAGGGGTATGATTTAAACTTACAAGGCAAGGTCACAGTGCTCCATCCAGACTTAACTAAACAAATTTGGAATAAAGCTGCCTGAGTGTTTACGACTGAATGTTTTTATGTTAGGTTTTCTGGTCTATTTGGGCAAAAGAGCACAGTGAGTTTCAGTCATCACAGTACATGCCAAAGTTTGCCTAAAGCAATTATTTCTTAGGCTGTGATGGAGCTGAGATAAAAGGGAAGGGAGAAATTAATTTCAGGATCTAATGGTTTTTACTAATGATTCATGAGTAGGGCAGCATCCCTTTCACTAAGCAGCAAGATGTTCCTGTGACTGTGGCAGAGAGTTGGGTTTTTTGAGGCAGTGTGAGCAGGATCACGGAATCAGCAAAGTGAAAAAAGCAGATTGATTTGCATCAGATTTCTTCAGTTACCTCCCTCATGGCGTTAAAGCAGAGGCAACTTCCTCAGCATGCTGGCTCAGGTCGACTGGGCCCATTCTCATTGGTTCTGTGAATCCTACCTCCCCCACCCTTTTTTTTGGAAAACTATTGTGTTTTAAAGTTCAGTTTGATTACACAGCACACCTAGCATGAGTGACTTGCTTTTTGGTTAGATCTGATCCATTGAATAGAAGAGTTACAACATATTTAGATTGTATTTTACAACATGTGGAGTCAGTCTGCAGCCTCCATTAGTGACTTTCATCTAGATTATTTTATTTTGTTAGGAAACAATAGGAGGTGGCAGAAATGGTACAGTGCTTTTAACTTTTTACTTCTCATTGTGCCTCACCTTTGGAATTCATTGTTTGGAAATCTTTTGCATGCAACTCTCATTACTTTCTTCTCCTCTTTCCTATTCTTTCCAGAACCCCCATTCTCCTAGCAGATGACTAAGGAACCTGGGACCTGAAGGCCCAGACTCTCTAACTTCTTTCTGTTCTCAACTGCATTTGTCTTTGGTTCCCATTCACTCCCCTCTAGTTTTGGAATAAGAAATCTCCACTTTCTCTTCTGCCTTTACTGTCACATCTTCTATTCAATGGATCAGACCTAACCAAAAAGCAAGTTACTCATGCTGCCTTAGAAAACCCAACTCTTCTGCCACAGTCACGGGAACATCTTGCTGCTTAGTAAAAGGGATGCTGCCCTACTCATGAATCATTAGTAAAAACCATTAGATCCTGAAACTTAATTTGCTGAAATTTTGTTCCTTGACATCACCAACATTTACCTCTTTTGATATCACCAACGTAATCACCTTTTTTAAAACTTTTCATTCTTTTTAAAGGACCTAGTCTATAGTAAGTTTGAACCTGCAGAGTATGTTTACCTTGTCCAGAAAGATCCACTGTCTTCTGGTGTCCAGTTTTGCCATCAAAGAGCTCCATTACATATTTTCCTTTGTCATTTGGAGTGGGCTCATTGATTTGTAGCCAGATCTGCTCCCCAGTGACCCCACTCTTAACTCTGTCTGTGTACTTAATACCAGTTCCACTGAGAAAATCAGAGAGAGCATTGTTACTGTTAACTTTCCTGAAGAGCTGATTTTTCCTCTGTCTTTTATTAAAAGTCTTATGATAAACTTTTATAGACTTTCAAAAAGCATATGTTATTCTTCTGTTTCAGAGAAATATGGTCCCTGAAAGACAGCATTTGGATTCCAAGGCCTTGGGTCTGATAATCTGAACATCTATTTAACTCCTCATAGATGTCTGGGGCCCAGGGAAGATTAAAACACTAACACTCCTTGGGGATATTAACTATCTTTATTTTTTCTTGAGTTTATTACTAGGATTAAGGGCATTTTTAAAGGTAAACAATAAACTATACAATTTTGCCACATATTTCATGCAGAAGATCTATGGCTATAAACTAGATTTTATAAGGTGATCAAAAACACACTCATGGAGGCTCATCTTTGCTTGACATCTATTGACACATGTTGTTCCAAAGCTATTTAAAACATATGTAAATGTGTACTTGGTAGGAGAGCCAATAGTGAATGAAAGGCAGAGTGTCTGCCAAAATGAACAAGGCATGTGCTCTGACCCTGGATGTGAGTTTCTTAGTATTCTACAGCAGGTCAAGAACAAACACATGCATTGTATTCTCTGTAACAGAATAAAAGGAAATATAGTCCTTTGTATTGCAATCTGACCATCTAGAAATGTGACTGTTATAGATGAAATGAGAGAAAGGTAGGTAGCTATACTCTCATGCTGTTAAAAGAAATTTCATGAAGTGTTTATAAAAAATGAGGAAATAAGAAAAAAGGCAGAAAAAAAAAGAAAAAAGGCAGCACACTTTTGTATACTTTATTATAATAATAATTATACATAGGGAAAAGATTAGAAGTAAGTACTCAAAAATGTTCATATTATAGCCGGTGAATTATAAAGAATGTCATATTATGAATTCTTTCAACTTTGTGATATGATATCATAAGTGTTGTTTTCTAAAACAAGAATGTACTATATGTATAGTTGGAATATAGTGTTAAAGATGAACTTTGAAAAGCAAAGTAAAACAAAATTTTCCACCAAAAAGCTTTAGCTTTCAAATAAATAGTGTTTTTCTTTTCTTTTCTTTTTTCTTTCTTTGGTGGTAGTGGGGTTGGAACTGTTCAGGGTTTTGTGCTTGCTAGGCGGGCGCTCTGCTACTTGAGTCACATCCTGAGCCTGGTGTTTTTCTTACATTACTACATTCTTTAAGGAATACTTATTCATAGATCTAAAAAGATTTCTAATATTTAAATGCAATAAAATTTAGGGTAATGAAACCCATCTGTATTGCACAGACTTTAGCCTGAGCAGTAGATGTGGCTTAGAGAGTTAGACAGAAAGACTGCTCTCTGTTTTGCAATAATAAATCTGTTTGATTTCTTTAATCTCTGGCTAACATGCAGAAAGGTACCTTACACATGTTAAGCACTTCAGATAGGATGGTTATTATTGCTCCTATTTTATATAAAAGAAAACTGACATTCATAAAATTAAATGAACTTGCCTAAGATCACAATTAAAGATAGAGGCAAAATCATGACTAAAATCCATTTTAAGTTTTTTTCTCATTATGCCACATACCTATAAAAGACAGCTAACATAGTCCTTGATTTCTAAGTCTTTCATGAGCTCAAGAAGTCATAAGAAATTCATGTAGCTAACAAGACCAAATAATAGTCTATGCCTTGTTAGTCTAATAGTAATTTCTTTAAAACTCATTTTCAATGTTCTCATTTTTTAATAACTAATTATTTTAGAGAAGATATAAAGGTCTTTGATTGATAGTTCAACAAATTTTACTTCTTTCATTCTTCAGACTGGATATATTAGAATGTCCTAGATGTCACAGAGGAATTTCCTAGAATTTGATTTATTTTAACTTGTAATTACTTTCCTAAAATGTGTTCTGAAAGAAACAGAGCAAAGGAATGAAACCCCAGGCATTCCACACTGGAATTTTACTTCTCATCTGTAGAACTCAGGAAATGATTAATACTAATAATAAAACTCTAGTCTACATAAGAGTTAAGTTATTTTAAAGAAAGCACAAATGACCGCTTTATGGGATCTAGGTTAACAAGTCCAGTCTAGATTTGCATGTGTGTGTGTGTGTTGCTTTGGGCTGAACCCATGGCCTTGAACTACACCTCCAGCCCTAGACTATATATTTTAATTATTTTAACAGATATGTAAAACAAAAATATAATGGAGCCACATGATTTTGTTGTTTGATTTGGAACTTGAGATCCTCTGTTTTAGCCTCTGAGTGCTGGTATTACAGGTGTTCACCACTACACTCTGCAGTGATAATTTCCTACATATCTATGTTGTTTAACATTTAAATAAGGTTAAATATATTTATCTTCTCCAACAGTTATCATTTTTTTATGGTGAAAACTTTAAAAATCCTTTCCTCTAGCTTTTTGAAATGTATAGTATGTTATCATTATCTATATTCACTCTTCTATGCAACAGCACCCCATAACTTCTTGTTCTTATCTAACTGTAACTTCACACCTGTTGATCAACCTCTCCCAATGACTCCCTTCCTGCTATTTTGGAGTTTTCATGCAAATTGAGTGGGGTGTGTGTGTGTTGTGATGAGCTGGTTCTGTAGTGAGCTGCCTGGGTAGAGCCTTCAATTTACTGCCTAGCTGTGTGACCTTGGCTAAGTCACCTCCCTGAGCTCGAACTTCCTTGTCTTTACAGTGGGGAGTATCTACTACATAGAGCTGTGCATATGGACCAATCCACATATCTAAGGGCTTGGGCAGTGCCCAGCATATAACCAATACCCACTGAAGGCACAATGCAAATAAACATTGCTACCTGCATCCTCCTGGAGGTGCACAGGACCTACTGCCCAGTGGAGTTCCAAAGCACAGTTGGTATTTTGGAATGAATGTCTACTGTATCCTAGACAGTACTGAAAATAAAAATCTCTTGACTACCTCCCCAAAATTATCAGTACCAGTTCTCTGTTCTCTTGTAATTTAGGATGCCTCAAGGAAGTCCAGAGATTAAGTACACTGTCAGAACTGGGAAAAGGTGGGGGACTTTTTGATTTAGAAACCTATTTTGCTCTTGGAATCCCAGAGGTGAACTTAAATGCAATCTCTCCATGGCTCCATAAAGGCAGCCTGGGATTAGGACAGAGCTTTAGGTTTGATCCAATTCAAACACATATCCCTCAAGTCATCTTGAGATCTTCAAAGAGATCTCCTTGTCCACTTCCTCTGGAGGGTGGATGAGAAGTATGCTAATGCCCAACTGTGCCAGTTGCTGTAAACAGTGATAAGCTTGGGTGCTCTTTGGTGAATGGCCAATAATTCATATGGTAGGAAATCTGGTGCCTCCTGATGCACACTGCTTCAGTTTTATTTCAGACCATAGCATGTTTTAGCTGTATACAGAAAGAGAGCTGAGAATATTGCTCTGGATGCTTGGAAAAACAGGGATGGCCCATGTACCACAGCCTCCATTATAGGGATGTCTGTGAACTATGATTCTTCTTAGATCACAAAGAAAGATGTACTGCAGCCATTACTGGACCCACCATGAACACGCTGAGGGAAAGAGCTAACTTCACAGTAGGGGAATGGCTTGGGTATTTCTGCCTTATGCTCCTCAATGTTGAACCTGAGACTCTTTACATAAAAGGAATATTTTTTTTTTAAATTCTGCCCAGTAGAGAAAAAATTTCTACATAGCAAGTAAGTTTCCATTTACTTACTTGTGGGACCAGTTAACTTTTAAATCATCCACATAATAAGTAACAAAAGAGTACAGGCGGATGCCCTCAGCTGTGCTTTGGATTTTCAGATCTGTGGCAGACAAAGCTGAAAGAAGAAAACAGCAAATTTCATGCACCTGCACGTCTATCCTGGCAGGAGAATAATGAAGCATTGCTGTAGAAAATTTTAACTTACCTATTTTCCTGCATACTTCAGTCATTAGTTCTTTGAAGGCTGCGGATAGAGGTTCATAGCCAAAATTTTAGCTTTCATGTGTCAATATATAGTCAAATATTAAATTGTTGGCTCACAAAAATTTCCTGTCTGGTGAAGGGCAACTGGACACAAGGTGATTTGTTAACTAATTGATGATTAGTGCTCTTTGAGGACATGACTCAGTTTTTATCAGGTTTTAAAAGACATCTGCTTATTTTGATATTTTCCCCTTCTAATTCTTCTAATTGACACCACATTTACATTTTAAGGAAAGAGTATAATTAGATTTCCAGGAATGTTCTTGGCTTTAGGATTCTCTTTCTTCTTAAGTCCCAGGAAGCCTTAATTCACATTACAGGAAGTTATCTTACCTGTATCATCAGTTCATAATGAATTAACCATCTAGGTTGCCTGGATTTCCTCAGCTTACTAATTCTTTTTGCCAGTAAACATATTTAACTTACCTCCACCAAACTTAGGAAGTTGAAATAAAAGTCAGCCATCTGCTGATTTATAGCAATACTGCTAAAAGATCTTGTTCAGGAACAAAACTAAAAGTTTTGGAGTCTCGAATAGGTTTGCTTGGTCATTATATATTTGTTCTTAGTAGTCTCTGAAAAATGGAAATTGCTATCTTGCTCTGCTAGTAACTGTAAGGTTTCACATTTCATATATAAATTTTTTTATTACCCTTAACAATGGCCTATTCTTCAACATGCTTCTCATAGAAGTTTTTGATCCTGGAACATTTTTATAGAGTTGAAACAAAAATGATGATTTAAATTGAAAACAGACACCTGGGTGACTGGAGGACTATAAATTCTATGAAGGTCAAATGTACACTTTTGATTTCTAGGAAGACCAAAAGTGAAATGGTTTTGAATAAGACAGTAGTTCACTCAGCTGGAATTTCAATTAAACCAAAATCAGGGACAAAAAAGCAGTGTGACTTTAATTGCCAGCCCATCTCAATCATAATCCTGGTAAACTGTCTATGGAACCCACAAAATAGAGCCCAGCAGTTGGGGGGACTAACCTTCATCCACAAGCTTCAATCTGCTCTTATCTTTTCCTCGGTCATCTTTCAGGATAACTTCATAAAATCCAGCATCTTTCTTGGAAAACTAAAGGGAGGTTAGATTTATCTTAAGTAGCTCATTGTAGCTCAGGGTATGGTGCTTGCATTTTTAGGGCTCTTGATTTATCAATTGTCATGAAAATACACATCAAAGAAGCATGTTGCCACACAAATGACAAGCACTCCATTGATGCATCTATACATAATTTCCCCCTCTAAGAATCCTGAATTTTTTTTAAGGTTATAATTGATTCAAACCTTAAGGACTTTAAATCTTTTGCTCTGCCTTCATTTATTAAAAATAATAGTCATGTACGTTTGAAAGCTGTGGTCTTTCAAACAAAAGGTAGAAACAAGTTTATTCTTCAATAAATATTCTGACTATCTCTGTACTCTTAGGGAACAAGTTATCAGGAGGCTTAAGTACAAACAAAGAAGAACCCACTTAACAGGCCACATATAAAAAAGTAGGTCATAAAGCAAGAGTTACAGCATCCAGCTGGTATCGATTGGGTATTTGACAAATCCACATATATCACAAAGCGTCACAAAGTGAAAGGAGCTTTTGTGTTCCTATAGCAGTTAGATGTAAGCAATTGTAAATCCCCTGGGCATGAAACAAATATGGTATCTAGTTTCTGTCAGGGGCGGTGGGGGGCAGGGAGAATTCAGGGCACAGAGCTGACATGCTTCACATTTACAACCACTTACCTCTGTTATCAGAAGGGTGCAGATGCCATCCTTGAAGTCATGTTTTTCATCCACTGATATTTCCCTCTCATCTTTGTACCACACAATATGAGTCTCCTTCTTAATATTTGCCACCTAGAAGAAAAACCGTAATTATCCTCCTTGAAATGAAGAGACATAATTCATATGAGAGTGTAATTCATGTGGCAAGGTATAGAAGAAAAAGCATTGAACTTGGACTCAGAAGACAGATTTCTAAGGGAATCAATTAGAAACTTAATTGAGAAAAGGGTTACAATAAAGTGGATACCAATGAATAAACATACATCGAGAGCATTTCTATTTCCAGCAGTAAAAATTGACTTGACACCTGACTTCCAAGATAAATACTGCAATGTTGCATTAGCTGGTAGAGCCCCTTTCTGTACTACTGTATGGAAATGCATACCAACACAAATTGGAATGTAGTGGAAGCTGTCCCTGTTGGCAGAGTCCCAAAGAAATGGAGAGAACAGCAATCATGCCAGCTCTTAAATACTAAATCGTTTCAAAACCAACTCATAATTGATGCCAGTGCACCCATTAAAATATGGTGTATTAAAGAAATAAAATACAATTGAAACCTTTGGAGAAAACAAATCACTGCATAGGCTGGGCACAGTGGTACTAGCACTCAGGAGGCTGAGGTGGGAGGATCGCTGAGCCCATGGATTCAGCAACACCTGGGCAACATAGTGAAACCCATCTCAAAAAAAAAAAAAAAGAAAAATCACAGGGTAGCCAAGAAAATAATGAATATACATACTAACACGCACAGTTAAATGAAAAGGAAAATCTCACACCCAAAGTAAGACAATTCCCATCACATTAAAATAGCCTATGACACAAAACTAATGGTTTTATTAAATGAGTAGAATGAATAAGCCCTAGTCTACATCTAGGGACTCAATAAAAGGTAAATGAAGCATTGCAAATACATGTACAGGGGAAACATAGTTTAATATACTAATTGCTTAGTAATTTTGAGGAGATTCCTTTAGCTCCTAATCATCATCTAAATTTCAAATTGATTAAATGATCTCAAATGGTTAAAACTATCCTGAGCTTTATCTACAACATTTGATTTTTTTTTTACAAAAGGGGATATATTCATTTATTTCTTATATAATTAAAATTGTATGAAAGAGTAAAGCTTTCATACAAATTGAGAAAACACCTCAAAGATCCCATTAAATAAGTAAAATGTACATACAATTCCCCAAAGAGGAAAAACTACACATGAAGAAAATGTTTAATCTTATTATAAACAAGAGCATTTGTTTTAAAATATTAAATAATTTTAGCTAATAAGTAGATATAAGAACCAATATTGTTAACTGCAGTGAAACCAGTACCCACAAAGAACCCTGTAAACTGGCTCCTGAATTGGAGAGTCATTGTGTTACTAGGTGACACTGCTTCTGAAAAAATGAGCCAACAAAAAGCTACATGTGGATTGAGGGTCTGGAAATGTTCTGGGCTTCACAGAGTACAGCACCTCTTGTAACTAGGCCACATCTCTTGCAGGGATCCAGGACATTTGCTGAGGGAGTTGTTATACGGGATGCTAGATCCTTGGGGCCATGAAGTTTCTTAAAGCCATAGTGCTCTTAACCTGCCCCGTGTGGATCTTGTCTACTTGCACCTGGGCTGTCATCAGAGGATGGCACAGGAAATATTGTCCCTGCAGACTCTTGCAAAGGAGGAATCTTAGCACGGCCTTGCAGCAAGCTGGAACTCCTATTCAATCCTTTGCAGTAGACTAGTACCAATTGGGGTCCAGGATAGTCTCATGAATCTGAATGTTTAGCTGCTCATACTCAATGAATCACAATGCAAGAGTAAATGGCTAAATTTATATAAATTGCTATCAGAATGTAACAAAGAGCTATGGAAGGACAGAAGGGAGAGGCCTTACAGAAATTACTGAGTTGGGCCTTGAGAAAGGATTTGCCAGATAAGCTGAAAGAAAAAGCCCATTCTAGGCTTTGGGACAGCAGCATAAATATGTATGTGTGAATATTTGTAACCTATTTCTAAGCTTCCTTGATAGTTCAGAATCTAATTCTCTTGGAATAAGATATCAGCCCTCATCTCCCAGTGGGCAACAGGTAGTGCAGAAAGAGAAGAATGTGACATGTGGGTTTCTAGGAAGGGATGTTTTATGGGAGCCACGGTGTAGATGAGAAAGTGAGTGGAGGCAGCATGGCAGTGGGCAGCCAGGATAACAGACAGGAGGTGAGGTTTTACCTGCTGCCTGAGAAAGAACCTTTGCTAAGAGGCCTAGAACTTATTTTTCTTATATATTTCTGATAAACTTGAATTTATCAGATTGAATAGAGACTGGTGCACTTGGTTTTTGGCTTTTATAATGACAGTTACATGCCAAATGCCAAATCCATGATTCCATTTATTTATTTATTTATTTATTTATGGTAAGATTGGGGTTTAAACTCAGGGCTTTGAACTTGCTAGGTAGGCACTCTGCCTCTTGAACTATACCCCTAGCTCTGTGATTCTGCTTTTGAGTTGCTGTTGGCCACCCTCGCCTCATACTCTAATCTCATCCAACCATTCCTTCCCAAACACTTTTTTTTTAAAAAAACACTTTTTTTTTTAAGAAAAAAATTAACTGCCTAAGAAGTGTGAGGACTTGAGTTCAATCCGCCCCCTCACCCCAGAAAAAACTTTAAGAAAAAAATAAAGATGGGCTGTCTTGCTACATAGCTCAGGCTGGCCTCCAGCTGTTGGTCTTAAGCAATTCTCCTGCCTCAGCCTTGTGAGTAGCTGGGACTGCTAGTACATACCACCATGCTTGGCTCCACAAAATTCTTTTTTATCTTTTTTTTTTTGGCAGTGCTGGGGATCAAATCCAGGGCCCAAGACATGCTAGGCAAGTGTTTCACCACTGAGCTATATCCTCAGCCCCTCTAAAACGTTTTTTTTTTTTGTTGTTGTTAGTCCCTGGGATATGAACTCAGGGCCTTGAGCTTGCTAGGCTAGCCTCCAACCCTAAAAACATGATTCACTCAGCTGAAAACCATATGGTTAAGACATGAAATAGTTCAGAATGCTATATAGAATTATTTTTTCTAAATCTTTCCAAAGGCCTAGTAAGACAACTGGTTGATGAACTGCAAAGTTTTTCCCAGCCCCCTCCAGGCACACAGTGCTGGAAATCAGGAGGGCAGTTTGTGAACAGTGAGGTACTGCTGTGTAGGCATCACAAGTTAGAGAGGAAGTTCACCAAAAAATACTGTAGTGGGTGGGATCAGTCTGAAATAGATCTACCACTTAGAATGCAGATTTGGCCTGAAACAAAAACAAAGTGAGACTCTTCTGAGATTAATAGACTTTGGGCATCTTTAATCTGGAAATCCAAAATCTGAAATGCTCCAAAATCTGAAGGCTTCTGAGCAGCATGACACCACAAGTAGAAAATTCACAAAATTGAATTATTTAAAATATTGTGTAAGTTGTTGGAGTGGCTCAAGTGGTAAGAGCACCTGCTTAGCAAGTGTGAGGCCATGAGTCCAAACCACAGCGCTACCAAAAAAAAAAAAAAAAAAAAAACCCAAAAGTAAAATATTGTATAAAATCACTTTGGGTTATGTGTACAAGGTGTAAAGGAAGTATAAATGAATTTTGGGTTTAGATTTGGGTCAGACCCTACATCTCATTACATATAGAAAATATCTAAAAAAAATCTAAAAAATCCCAAATTCAAAACACTTCTGGTCCAGATTATTTTGGATAAGGAATATTCAATCTGCAATTTAAAAAGAACCCATATTTTCATTGAGTAGGCCATGAATAATAAACATGAACAATCACCTTGCCTTCCCATATTTTTAATATTGTCTTCCTTTAAATTTTTCTTACCAATGTTTATATTGGTGTTCAACAGTAAGGATGTGTTGCTTATGGTTTTTTTCCAAATGGAGGAGAAGAGATATTGATCTTCCTTGTCTCCACATTGTTTTATCTTTATGTCCCTTGAATCAAATATTAAAAATTTATCCACCTCTTACCTTGCATTTCAATAGTACATTACATTCACCAGTCACTTCCCAACTCAAATATTCAGCAAAATGTGGACCTATAAAATTTTAATGACATGAGTAATCACTTTATTAATCATGAATGCAAAATCAAAGCTCATGCACAACCAAGGTAATTTATGTTTGAAGATAATTTTTAAAATTATAGATTTATAGATTTTTTAGATATTTAAAAGGTCATTATTTAAAATATTATTATTTAGGAATGGGGGAGAGGAGATAAAGGAGAATGATGGAGGGGGCAAATTCAACTATGGTATATTGTAAGAACTTTGGTACATGACACAATGTATCCTCAGTACAACAATAATTAAAAAAATGGGAAAAACATTTAATAACAATTTTTAATCATTTTTATTTATCTGATCTTAACATAATAAATACTATTCATATTAATGTTATAGAAATAGTCTTCAAGTATTTTGTACAGCAAATTGAAGGTTTTCTCTTTACCCACTGTCTATTTTTACCTTGTTTCCTTATCCATTCTTGTCGCTGGAACTCAGCTTCTTTCTGGAGCTTTTTATAAACTAGAAGTTAAAAAAACATGGTAGTGTGAAATTGAATTGAGCAGCATAAATGTGTGTAAACAATGTATATTTGTTATGGCAACACTCATACATTGTGGTCACCATGCTTATTTTGATTTTTATAGATGAAGAAATAGGCTTAGAAAAATTAGGTAACTTTTCCAAGGTCATAAAGCTAAGGAAGACTGAAACAGTACTGGTGTTACAAATGTAGAGAGCTGGCAGCCTTTCATAGCTTTGTTTAGTGCCACATTTTAAATCTTGGTGGATTCACAGTGGTTTATGGCAGACAACCACTACAATCTACTTAAAATGTATGATGAACAGGTTTGGCTTGCAGTACTTTTGCATATTTTTCTTTTCAAGTTAAGTAATTCCAAGTAGGGACACACTGTAAAACAGTATCATGGTTTGTTTCTGAGACACATATACAGTCTTGGCTGTTATTGCAACCTCCTTCACTGGAGAATTTTAGTAATAAGTACTTGTTTATAAATGAGACTAAGCATAGCCTTCCCTAAGGGCCAGGAATAAATTTGGTGTTCTTAAGGCTCATATCTATGAAATGAAATACTATTATTAACTGAAAATTGTGTTTGGATCATAGGAGTTAAAGTAAGAAACAATTAGTACTACTTTTCAGGGACTTTTTTTTTTTTTTTTTGGTAGTATTGGGGTTTGGACAAAGGCATCACACTTTCTAGCCAGGTGTTCTACCACTTGTGCCACATCTCCAGCTCTTTTTGCTTTAGTTATTTTTCAGGTATAGTTTCACATTTTTGCCTTGGCTGCCATGGACTGCAATCCTCCTACCTACACCTCCCACGTACCTACACTTCACATGTAGCTGGGATTATACAAGCACATAGCACATATGCATCACCATGCCTGGTTTGTTGGTTAATATGGGGTTTTGCTAACTTTTTGCTCAGGCTAGCCTCGAAGCACAATCCTTTTGATCTCCACTTCCTGAGAAGCTGAGATTGCAGGCGCGAGCCACCACATCTGGCTCACAGGACCTCTTTTATATGTCATGGAGTATTTGGATTGAAGGGAGTAGTAAAGCGTTCCAATTAACGTTCCTCAGAATTCTTACCATCGCCAATGAGAACAAGAGTAGAGTGACCGGTTGCTTTTCCATCTTGAATCTGGAAAGTATATGTTCCTTCATCCTCATCCTGCAGCTTTTCCATAAACATTTCAATGATGCCAGTGTTTCGGTCAATGTGCATCTTGTATTTCTTCAATGTGAAAAGACAGACAGAGAAATCAGTGAGGTTGACATTTGATGATAATAAGCCTGATGAAATAAAAATAAGCCCTGAAAAACCATAATTTTAATATTTCCTGAAAATAGCAATGTCTTTAAAATTTTGTATATGGACATATGACCTAGATCAGAAACGATTACTGATACTTTGAATTTTAATTTTTTTAAATTGAAAGTTTTGTTACCCATGTTACAAAATAACATCAAAAAATTGTTTTACATTCCCATTTTACCTTCTAAATTACATTATTTTTAATTAGCAGAATAATATAAAAGCATGTGTAGCCAGGGGGAACATTTGTCTCACTCATTCTATTCCCTCAGCATCTAGTATACCTGGTAAATCCATAGTAGGAAATTAGTAAATTAATTATTTGGTAAATTAGCAATTTAGAAAAATTAACATGTGAATAAAAATGGTTCAAAAGTATTTGAATTAAATTTGCTCTTAGTGAACTGAAATATTCCTATTAGACTGTATTTATTTTATTGCATTGTTTAGACAGCTTTTTTTTTTTTTATCAGCATGTAACAATAAATCTTAGTCCATGGGCACATAGGTACCAATTCCATTCTTGATCTGAATTGATGAAGTTTTGCTAGAAAATACATCACAGAACGAAGGCTCAGGTCTGGGACCACCAACTCTGTGGTTCAATTCATGCTCCAGTGCCTCCCCTGTAGGAAGCCAGCCTCCAATTGAGACCAGTTTTTGCTTAGAATTCTCTTGCCCTAGCCTGCGTCTCTCACTCCCTTTTCTCTTCAGACCATATCCCCAATAAATCATGAATGAGAAATATTCATACTCTCCTTCTAGGGAACTTGACCTAAGACACATGTGTGTGCATGCATGAGGGGCAACATATGTGCATGCTGGCACACATGAAGGAGAGTGTTTCTACACATATGTGTGCAAGGATGCTCACTCAGTGGGGGCAGAGACTGATGCAGCCATGCTCTTCCTCCCTCTCCCCTGGCCAGGTGGTGACCACAGCAATTGATGACACATTTTGGAGCTGGGCCACACTAGACACATGAGTAACTTCATTTGGCTTCACACAAAGCTTTTCTATGTGTTGAAAACGAATATACTGCATACTGGGAAATACTATCCATTTCTTCCTCACTAATGATCCTCAAATGTTTTAAAAATATAGCTCAATAAAAAGGGAATGAATTGCTAATAACTGCTATAAGCCACACCTCCTCCTCTTTCAGTGTCTCATTTACATTCATGATAGCATAGGGTAGGATCTGAGCCCCTGACTCTCAATTCTTTTGTCCCCTGGGGTCTGGCCCAATTTTGATTCTGCTGATATCTATGGGGAGGACAAATGAAGCTCAGATGTTGTAAATCTATTAAAAACTATAGTTGTATTAGAAGCAAAGGAAATAGCATTATATAATACATATATATGTAAATAAGACACACACACACACACACACACACACACACACAAGCATAGAGAAAAGACCAAACGTATATACAACATCTACATCTAAAGTTGTAAGACCAAGTGGTTTCTGAGTCTTCAAAGTTTTTTACAATAGGATGTATTGCATTGTTAACCAGAAAGGCAATGACAGATATTTTTATTGCATTTTTCTGAGTCACTGGATGGAACAACAGGTCACTTTCTCTATAAAACATGTCAAGTCTGCTGGGGTTTCTGGTGTGTGTAGCCTGCATGTTTTTAACAACACATTAAAAAACAAACAAAACAAAACTGTGACTTTTGAGATGATGCAAACTAATTTACACTGTTTACCAAGCTGTGGGGCATGCAGTGAATTCAGGTGAGGATATCATCTTTTTTGCCTTCCCAGGACAGTAGCTCTATGTGTGTGGGTGACCACACTTCTTGGCTTGCCTGAACAATTTTAGTTTATGACTGCTGTCCAGAAAAAATATTAATAGCACCCTCTCTTATTCTCAAAAATGTCCCAGTATAAACACTATAAGATAGTCAATCTGTATTGCCTTTCATAAATTTTTTTTGCATGTGAGAATGAGTTAAACCCCACCATCCTACTGCTCAGCAGTTTTCGTAACAATTCACTCACATCTGAAAACTGAAAAAGTGTAAAACCTACCGGCCCCTCAAAAATTTCCTTTTCATTAAATATGTAGTTAACTTTGGCATTGCCAGACAGCTTCTCAGCCTGCATCCAAAATCGGACCTGACCTTTCTCCAAAATTTCAACTGCCAACTCTGATTTAGCTGGGACAGCTGTGAAAAAATAAAGTAAACATAGTAAGCAATTATACTGCTAATAATAATAATTTATATAGATTTTACAGAGAGTGAAAAAAGAGTCAGTGGAAATGGTAAAGTAGCTCTTGCTTCTTGCACATCCCAGATTGAGGGACAGAAGACCTGGGCTTTCATTCTGTGACTGTCACCTTCCGTGAATCACAGTCATCTCAACTGTAAAAATGGGAAGATGAACTTACCACTTAGGGGTACCTTTGTTTTTGGTGTTTCTGAGGATTGAACGCAGGGTCTTGTGCTTCCTAGGCAAGAGCTCTACTACCTGAACTACACCTCTTAGTTCTTTCGTTTTTAGTTTATTTTTCAGATAGGGCCTCACACTTTTCCCTGGGTGGCCTCGGACTTTGATCCTCCTTCTTCTACTTCCCAAGTAGCTAGAATTATAGACATGTGCCTTGTTTTTAAGATAAGGTTATTAATAACTTTTTGCCCAGGGTGGCCTCAAACTGTGATCCTCCTGTGTCTGCCTCTGAAGTACCTGGGATTATAGATATTTGTCACCATGCCGCCCCCCACCCCCCCCCCCGCCCCCCCCCCCCCCCCCCCCCCCCCCCCCCCCGGCCCCCCCCACCCCCCCCCCCCCCCCCCCCCCCCCCCCCCCCCCCCCCCGCCGCCCTCCCCCCCCCCCCCCCCCCCCCCCCCCCCCCCCCCCCCCCGCCCCCCCCCCCCCCCCCCCCCCCCCCCCCCCCCCCCCCCCCCCCCCCCCCCCCCCCCCCCCCCCCCCCCCCCCCCCCCCCCCCCCCCCCCCCCCCCCCCCCCCCCGCCGCCCCCCCCCCCCCCCCGCCCCCCCCCCCCCCCCCCGCCCCCCCCCCCCCCCCCCCCCCCCCCCCCCCCCCCCCCCCCCCCCCTCCCCCCCCCCCCCCCCCCCCCCCCCGCCCCCCCCCCCCCCCCCCCCCCCCCCCCCCCCCCCCCCCCCCCCCCCCCCCCCCCCCCCCCCCCCCCCCCCCCCCCCCCCCCCCCCCCCCCCCCCCCCCCCCCCCCCCCCCCCCCCCCCCAGCCCCCACCCCCCCCCCCCCCCCCCCCCCCCCCCCCACCCCCCCCCCCCCCCCCCCCCCCCCCCCTCCCCCTCCCCCCGCCCCCCCCCAGCCCCCTACAGGTAATTCTAGCAAATGTCTGTGGCTTTGGTTAGGGTTATACAAGGGTAATAACAAAGTCTGATGAAAAGAGTCCTGAGATAGCCCCACGAGAGCTGTGTCTAGTCTACTAACAAGCTATGTGACATTAGGTAGGTTACTTTGTATCCTTAGGCCTCACTCAACTTGTCTGTCAATGAACAGGACTAAACTAAATGCCATAATTAGCCATGATATTTTCCAGTTCTAAGACGCTAAGGTTTGGTATCTCAGTTATTCAAAATATCTGAAAAGGAGGTAAATTTGATTTTAAAAAAAACAATTTAACCTACTTTGGTGGTTTTTCAAATATTTTTAAAAAAATAAATCTTTTTTAGGGCTGGGAGATCACTCAAGTGTGAGACCACCTGCCCAGCAAGCATTAGGCCTGGAGTTCAACCCCTGGTATCACCAAAAAGCAAATAATCTTTTTTTACAGTATTGGGGATTGAACCTAGGGCTTCACAAATACTAGGCAAGCCTTCTTGAACCACTTGAACCACACCCTCATCTCTTTTTATTTTATATTTTATTTTTTATATAGGGCCTTACTAATTTTTGCACAAGCTACCTTGAACTCTTAATCCTTCTGCCTCCAAAGTTGGGATTACAGGCATGCACCACCATGTGCCCAGCTAAAAATAAATTTAAAAAATTCTGGTTGCACAATAAGCCTTCCACATCCTCAGGTTTCATATCCATGGATTCAAGTAACCATGTATCAAAAAATATTTTAAAAAAAAAATTCTATCTGGCTGGGAGAGGTGGCTCAAATCTGTGATCACAACTACTTGGGAGAGAGAGATAAGGAGGATCACAGTGGGCAAAAGTTTGTGAGGCTCTCTGTCTCAATCAATGGTTGGGCATGTTATTCCAGCTAGACAGGGACACTTGTGGTTCAGGCCAGCCCCAGCATAAAGCAAGCCTGTCTCAAAAATAAGTCTATAACAAAAAGGGCTGGAAGAGTGGCTCAAATGGTGGAGCGCCTGCCTAGCAAGGCTGAGGGCCTGAGTTCTATACCCATTACCACCAAAATAAAAAAAGAATGAAAAGTTGCATCTTTACCAAACATGTACAGATTTTCTTGTCATTATTTCCTAAACGATACAGTAGAACAATTATTTACACAGGATTATATTACGCATTATAAATAATACATAGATGATTTAAGTGTAAGGGAGAATATGGGTGTATTATATGTAAATATTATACTATTTTATTTAAGGGACTTGTGCATCTGTAGACTTTGCTATCTACCAGTGGCCCTGGAACCAATTCCCCACAGATACTGAGGGATGACTATATGAACAAGCTGGACACTTAAATCCTATCCATCCCAATGATAGATCCCCTCATTCTGGTTCCAGACAAAATAAGTTCCAGAGGCAAATAAGTAAGTCACTAAAGAAAGCAACAGTGAAATATAGCTTGGCTGTTTCCCAGAGGAAATAAAGTAACCTATGGGATCTCAGATTTATACCTGCATCAGTTAAGCCATTTGAGTCTCAGTGAAATTTTTAAGGTTGGCTGATATCTCAAGATTAGTTTTAAAATTTCTTGTAGATTGGAATGTTCCCTAGAAAGACTTCTCCAGCCACGGTTTTGTATCAGACATGGCTCCGGGGCATACTTTGTAGAGAGGTATGGCTGTTCCTCACACTTCAGTTTCTCTAAACTGCTCTTAAACTTATTTCAAAATTTTAGCATGTGCTATATTTTCAATTATAAACTTTTCAAATGTGTATCAAATATACCTTAATTTTTTTTGGCAGTACTGTGGTTTGAACTCAGGGCCTCACACTTGATAGGCAGATGCTCTACCACTTGAGCCACTTTGTCAGCACCCAATCAATATTTCTTGTATTTATACTAAACTTACCCTTTTCAAGCTTCAAGGAATTCCTTGCCTTTGCATTTTCCCTACTCATTATAAAATTTAATTGAGGATTTGTTCTGGTTAAGAGTTGAAAGGACTCTCAAACATCACCTAATGAAAGGTTGTTACAGTTGGAATAAGAAATGGTCCCACAGGCTCATGTACTGAATGCATGATTCTCAGCTGGTAGTGCTATTTTGGGAGGTTTTGGAAACTTCAGGAGGTGGGGTCTAGCTGGAGAAAATAGGTTATGGGGAATGTCTTTAGGGGCGGTATCTTGTCCCAAGCCCCTGTCAGTCTATACCTATCTGCTTCCTGTCTTCCATGAGGTGAATAGCCAACTCTTCCACATGATCCCAGCCACCATGATGTTCTACCTTACCGTGGCACCAGAATTAATGGAGCCAAGGACTATGGATTGAAATCTCTGAAACCATGAGCCAAAATAATTCCTTCCTTTATGCTGTTTCTGTCTGGTATTTGGAAACAGAAAAAAGCTAACTAATGTAGGAATGCACATGATAAAGGGAAAATAGGCTTTGGAGTTATACCATGATCTTGAACAGTTGCTTTCCTACTTAAAGCTTGTGGTTCTCAACTACTAATATGGATATCATGTGACTCACAATGCTATGGAGATAAATAATCATAGTAAAATAGAATACATTAAGATACTGTGAATAATAATCAGTGCTCAAGAAGGCTAGTTCTCTAATGCCCTATCCCCAATTTTACTGATGAGAAAACTGAACTCCAGAAAAGATTAATGACATATCTACATCATAGAGCTGAGCCCAGGGTTATTGCCCCTATTCTGTGTTCTTCTTGGTTCCAGTCATCCTCTCTGATGAACATTAGTGGGTTTCCAGTATGAACAGATGCCTGAGTAAAGCAGATACTAGATCCCAGGGTGGCAAGAGCAGGCGCTAAGCTTTCTCCCTATAGGACACTCATTCTTGCTACAAATGAATCTTGAGGAGAGCAGAAAGTTTCTTTTTTAGAAAAGTCTGGAGACCCCATCTGGGAATCCTAAGAGTGATGGCCTGGAGTGGTGATGGGAAGGGAGAGATGTGCCCTTCTGGAGGGTTCCAGCTCCCTTAATGTTTACTGAACATCCTAAGTCATAAAAATATCACCAGGGGAACAAAGGCCACTCTGAGTTGGTACAGAGAGCAGAGAGTAAACATGGCAGGTGCACAAATGGGAACAGTATGTGACATGGTGAGGAAAATGAGCACCAGAGTGAGATCACTTGGCCTTCTTCAGCTGTGTGCAACTGGTCTAGTTATTTAACTTCTCTTGGCCTCATGCTCTTCACTTCTAAAACCAAGTCATCATAGTACTGACTCTTTCAAGGTAATCATTGAGTTCAAATGACATATTCCATTTAAATGCCCTGTACAGAGTCTGACACATAATAAGCACTCTATAAATGTTGGCTATTAATATTTTGGTATCTTTCTTCATCGAGTTGCTTCAACACACCCTACAATGACCAACTGTGAAATATAACATGTTGACAATGAAGAGTGCATACTGATATATCTATATTTGTGTTTATGCGCTTGTGTATATCTATAGACATGCATTATTTGTGCGGGTAGAATAACAAATGTCTACAAATGAGGAGAGATTATATAGGATGTTGACAATACTGAAGCATGCCCTCCACCTTCAGATGAGCTGCCTCTCCACACTGCAATTTAGTATGAATACTGGCAAGACAAATTATTTTCTATTTTTAGCTTTCTGTGCTTGTTTTTTTTTCCTTTTTCTTGGTTCTAAATTTCCTTCTCTTGCAGTTATATTGCTTCCAGCAAAATATGTTATTTGTAGGTTTAAGGCATACACTTAACAGCTTTCAGAATATTTTTGAAAACAGCTTAACAAAGGAGAATTTATTATGTCAAAGGAATACCATATTCTTTATTACATTCTCTAATAGGACCATTGAAAAACCTTATAAATGTCAAGAAATCAACTTAATATTACAACCTTGACTGAGAGGAAGTAGGCATAAGTTGAGAAATTAGATTTGACCCTATTGGTTGATCTCTGAAAGTGTTCATGTGGTGACATCATTGGTCTGATAGTGGTTGTACAAAACCATCTTATTTAAAATGCTGCTTTAATGCCTTGGTCTCTCTTGTGACCAGTCCCCATCTTGAAGCTATATAGGGGCTACCAGCCACCAGTGATCCCATTAGCATGTGAACAAAACACTTACTCTGGCATTACAAGGATTTTAGGAGTTGTATGCCAGGCAGGAAGACCAAATATATATTTCTCATTATCACATCTATCTACAGACATCCTTCCTGCTCTCCACAGTAGGCTACAGTGGGGATCCAGAACTGCTTCCAGAGCACATCCACAGGCTGCATACCAGTTTGTCCCTCTAAGTGTTAAAAAGGCCAACTGGGAAGAGGAAAGGACTTTCCTGCCCTCCCCCATTTCAATACTTTTCACTTCTAAGCTTGATAGGGGAAGTATTTTTAAATTACTTTAAAGTATTTTAAAGTGACTGTTCCCTTCAATAAGGAAATACTTTGGTCCAGCAAGGATATTATTTGTGCTTTGAGGCTAGCAAATATGGAACAGATTCATCTAAAGTGTGGTATTCTGCATTTTGTTGCTTTATTTGCTTTTTAAAGAGGAATTACCAAACAGGCTACAAAGAAAAGGCAAAAACTATTGCTTCAATATTTGAGAACATTTCCTAGGTTTTGAGGTGAGAGCATGGCTTTGGTCACAGTTGCCTATGAATATGGTTTCAGAACAAACGTAAAGCCTTAACTTAGATTTTCATGTCTTAGAATCATCACTGCCTTAATGTTCAAACATCTACTTAAATCACCCTTATAAAGTAGAAATGCATATTTGTTTATGACTTTTTGTAAATATTAATGAAGTGATCTATGGCTTCAAATTTTGTTTCAGTGACAATGTTTATTATTCTAGCCAATAGTTATTTACAGAAAAATGAGCATGTAATTGTTCTTCAAGTACAATAACTGTTTCCCTCCCCCAACCTTAGTCACCTGAATCATCCTAAGATTATTTGTAAAAACTGAAATTCAATGATTAAAGAGAAGCTAGAATTCTAAAAATAAGCGAATAAACAAAATGCTGCTTTAATGGACTAACAGAAACTTCCTTAGCTTGGAGGTTTGATATTTGCATTCAGAGTTTTAAACATATACTTGGGTTCTCCCTCTGTGCCCACCAACCTACCAAAGGTCTCTAATAAGGAAATTTGCTGCAGTACTCTCTCCTAGCACCAATAATTAGAGTCTTTAGACTGTGCAATATAAAATATCTCAGTATAAATGACAGTGACATGAGGCAATTATGACTGCCTTAATTAATTCCATCTCCAAGTTCCTCTGATCATTGAACTTTGGGAAGCCCAGGCAGCTTAAACTCAGCAATGACACTCTATCTTGACTTCTCTCATGTCCATCCTTTAAGCTGGATGATAACTCTGATGGGGCCAGCTGGTGCCTAGACACTTAATGGATGTGTACTGTCTAACTAATTACTACAAGCCGCGTCCTACTAGCTTGGACACAACTCTATACTAGGTGCTGTAAATTGTCACAACAGCCATTTCTGGAAAAGATTCCAAGGCACAGGGAAATGCAAGTGTCACATTATGAGTCAAAAGTACAGAACAAAGAATGTGCAGGGATTCTCCATGTTCCAAATAGCTTTTCAAAGTTAACTTTTAAAACATTACTCATGATACTATGTTTCCAGTTTAAAGGTGAATAAGCTGGAGATGAAAATGGTTTGCCTAACGCCACATGGCAGGGTAGACCCTAGAATTTAGAAGTCTGCATTTCCACATTCACAGCCCACCAGGCACTCCACTGTGCTGCTTTGTTCAGTGAAGTTTGTTTTGAGAACATTACAGCTGAGACCAACAGTCACCAACACCCAGCTTCACAATCAAACAAATCATTCCTGGGGAATGTAAGAGGAGGTAGGTTCTAGATTTTTTTAAAAAAATCACAGTCTCTACTGAGAGTTTTAGGGAAAGCTCTAGATAGACCCTCTCCTTAGAAAAAAAATGCACATACACAAATATACATAGTTTTTCCCACAGTCTGGGATAATGATATAGTTTTTTGTTTGTTTGTTTATTTGTTTTTTCAGTGCTGGGTATTAAACTCAGGGCCTCATGCTTTTTAGGCAATCCCTCTATCACTCAAGCCATGCCCTAGCCCTGAGATTTTGGATTCCTGAAATTCTTATATTAGTGAAGAAAATAATTATTTAAGGATTAAAGGATTCTGTTAAGTTCTAATTTAAAGTAGTGTATTTTACTACTTTCTATTTGTTTTCTCAAACCCTGGGCTGTGTTTTTTTGGATGCTTCACTACTTTGGCTAGTGGGTAAGAGATTCTATCAGGCTAGTGGAATCTTTCGAGTGTTATTTCAGACTTCTTTCTTCTTCTCTTAGGTGTCAACTGTGGAGTTTAATCTTTTATATACAAGGTGCTTTATTTAGGGGTTTGTAAAAAGTTTAGGAGGATTCTTTTTCTGAACAGGCCTTTTTACCTTATTTTCCGTGAGTTTAAAATGTTAGATACTGTCTTTAGATTATTTTTATTTAGAGGTATGATTCTTCTATAAAGTGCCAATATTACTCAGGAAGAGTTAGTTTGCCTAAAAACATTAAAAGAATATATGCAGAAAATGAATGTACAAACACATATATGTGATCATATATACACATGTATATATGACTCCAAAATACATAGGCAAAAAGTGAAGAACTTAATTACTGAAATGTTACACCTATGTATCTTGACACTTCTCTGTGTAATGATGCATGGGATACATATTTTCGATGTTTATATCTTGGTTTCTCTGGAGAACAATGGCAAAGAAGAAAGTGTCCCTTCTAGAAACTACTTCTGTAGTTACTGATATGTGATCCATTACATGTTCTCAAGAGCCTACTCTCTTATACCTGTCAGAGCTGTCATCTCATCCATTGCAGGAGCTGCCCCCTAGTAAGATTGCTAAAATCTGTGAATGTATCATGGATACTTACTTGGGAACTTGTGTTCCTGGCTGAGAGCAAGTAAACGTTTCAATTCTGTAGGGAGAAACAGAAAACAATTAAACCTTAACCTACTAAAACAAATGTCGCTTGAAAATAATTGAAAAATTAAAGCAACATAAGACTTGTGAGTAAGCTGATTTTAAACTTACCCTCTTCATCTATTAAGTAGCTTGATGCTATTCCATCAGTATCTGTTACGTCACAAGAGTAAATGCCTAAGTCATCTGTCCCAAGGTCTTTGAAGGTCATTTTTGTCCTTGAGAAGAAAATATTTTTTTTAGAAATGGGGCCATGCTAGGTCTATGGATTTGTGACTTGCCCTGTCACTAGACAGCTGTACATGGTACTCTCTTCATTTGGAATGCCTGTTCTCTCCCCCTTGCTGAGCTAAAGTTTGCTCATTCTTGGTGTCTCCATTAGGAAGACCTTCCTGACCTCCTCCCAGAGGATGGTGGTGATGGTGGCGGGGGTGAAGGGGGGAGCTGGTATAAATCCTCCCATTCCTAAGCTATGCTACACATTAATACACATCCTGCATAAACGTATTTTGCTGATTAGCCCTTGCTGGGTAGCCTAAATTTTTCTTCTGTAGGGCAGAATGTGCTGTGAATAACTCTGGGTGCTTCTCCTATGTTATCCCCTGTACTTCCTTTTTCAGAATTTATTATAATAGTGTACTGGGATTGTACCCAGTATATATCACTGTGTCTTCAGAGTTGGGATCTGCTTTGTATTCTGTTGCACCCAATACCTTGCCTGGCACGTTGTATGTGAATAAATACTATGAATGAATTATTTATGAATGAATAAACAAATGATCAGAAGTCTAGTTCATTGTGTTTTCTAATTTTGGCAAGTTTTATCACTAGTCAGTGTCTAAGATCAACCAAACATCTGAATGCTAAGTGTACAAACTGGAAGAAAAATTTATAGTTTGATTGTCTTTTCTTTAACCAAATGTGTTTCACTTCAACAACTTTGGAAGGTACTTTAAAAAGGATTACTATTTTTAAGATTTATATTGGAAAAGCTTTTTGCAATACTAGGTATAAAATACTTGTAAGTTTATACTCCTATTCCAAATAATTTAAATAAAAAGCAACAAACTTATTTCATGCTTCTACAGTGGAAAGAAAGCCTGTTATTATGATGTAAATAATCCTTACTTGTTGCCTTTGCTTTCAACTTCTAATCGTGGTGAGTCCTCAGTAGATACATAATCTTTGGACCAAGTGAATTCTGACTTTGGAGTCATCTGATCACATTCGAAGTTCAGTGAAATGACTCCATCATCATCCACATTTACAACCACCTCTTTGGTTCCTAGAAGATGAACAAGAAGTCATTGACACTTTCTGGTAGAAATCAACCATGTAAGAATTCCTTACCTTGGGATGCTTTAGCTTTAAAGCAAGGCCCTTAACCTGGGCCAAGAGAAAAGCCCCAACTTTTCTTGCTCCATAATTCAACTTTCATACTGTAACATGGAATTAAATGAATCTGCCATGTTTCCCAGGTAGAGTTAACACCAGAGACAGTTTAGGACTAAGGAAAATTGGTGATTATGACGGATGGTACAGTTACAGAGTGGATTGATTATAATAAAGGGAAAAGGCAGCCTTGGGAAAAGGAAAGTTGAATGGCTCCTACCAGGCCCTAATTCATAAATTCTACTTTGATAATACCCATATCTAGTCACTCACTGAAAGAACAGAAATAAAGAAACCAAAGGGAAATTGAAGGGGAAACATATAAAGAATAAGAATTGCCTATATTCACATACTTTAAAGTTTTTATGTCATTTTAGAAAGGAGAAATATATGGGAACTTTCTCTGCTGATATTATAACCATAAATCAATTTAAATATGCCCTTCCAGATTAGAATGATAGCAACCAAAAAAAATTATTATTGAACTGTATGAAAATTTAATGGAAATGAGTTTCAAGTGATCTGGTATATTTTAAGAAGATTGGTTTGGGGATTTTAAAAGAAAATCCAGTTAGTATTTTGAGTTATTTTATTTTTGAGATTTATGATACATTATACCTGTATCTAACACAGCAATTCAAAGAGTTTGTACAGCATATTAAACATTCACATCTATCCCAAAATCCACTATGAAAGAAGCAAAATGTACTACTCAAATTTATAGTCATGCAATCGCCAGCCTAAATTTGGTTTCAGGAGCTATATTCAGGAAAATTATATTTAGCCCCAGAAAGGTATAGCTTTATTTTTTTTTAAAGCATTAAGAGCTGGACACTGGTGGTTCATACCTATAATCCTAGTTACCTGAGAGGCTGAGATCAGAAGAATCATGGTTTGAGGTTACCCTGTGCAAAAAGTTCACAAGACCCCACCTCAGCCAATACCTGGATGAGTGGTGCATACTGGTCATCCCAAACTTCGCAAGAAGGAGGGGTGCAGTTCCAGACCAGCATGGGCAAAAAAGCTACTGAGACCCTATCTCAGTGGAAGGGGAAGGATAAAATAGGAGGATGGAAGACTAGACTGGCCTAGGCATAAGTGAGACCCTATTTCCAAAATAATCAGAGCAAAAAGGGTTAGAGATGTGTCTCAAGTGGTAGAGCATCTGCCTAGCAAATATGAAGCCCTGGGTTCAAGACCTAGTATCATCATCATCATCATCATCATCATCAAAAAAAAAAAGCATTAAGAAATCTTTCCAGAGATGTTTCCCAAAGGAATATTGCTTTTTCTCTCTAGAACATCCTGTCCTATTGTCCAATGAAACTTCTCCATAGGAAAAAAAATGTCAGAAGTCCTCCCAGAGAATATCCAGGAGGAAACCTTGGACAGTGTGGCATGAGAGTCTTGGTTCCTGAGACAGACAGTTGACCTAAATTGTTTGCTTCAGCATATATATGTGTATATATCTATACACATATGTGTGTGTGTATTCCCAAAAGTGATTGTTAGCACATGTAAAGCTTAGAAAGACTAGTTCTAGGTTATCTTCATATCTGGCTACATAGATAACCTGAAATAAATGATGAATTTAAGGCTGTTCCTTAAGTGAACCATCCATTATATGTTCCTTATGAAGAGCTGTAACTGCTTCGTTGCAAGTTGGAGACCATATCTTATTTCTGCTCCTGATAACCCACGACTAATCCTCATACTCCATTGCTGTAAAATAAATTTTGAATAAGTGCTCTTATTAAAACTTAAGAGTAACACAGAAGAGTATTTAGGCTTAGTGTTGTAATACACAGTTTGCATGAGTTACTGGACAATATAGATTGAAAATTTTATGTACATATATATTATTATGAAGAGGAAAGGAGAAGAGATGGGTGTTGACTAAATATTCCTTGCTTTTTGCACAATATCTAGTTTGGAACCATGACCAATTGCTCACATTAATCACTCACTGTCTTAGCTGTAATCTTTTTAAAAGGGAAATGAATCATCTTTATGCTCGCTGTTTAGCTTGACTAAAGGCAATATTCTTAGGTTAAAAATATTGATTTTTTTTTTCTAAAGTTAAAGATTTGACTTTTTTGCAAAGGAGTCACAAAACTAAAAGAATATGGGCAATTCCATTAGCTTTACCTTTGTCTCAGCTCTGTAGTTAACCTCACCCATTTGGAACCTTGCCCAAGTCAAGAAATAAGAAAACACACCTCTCAGAGAGCCATTTTTGCTGATGTGCCAAAACCTACTTCCTAGAGTCCTGCAAACACACTGGAGAATTCCACAGACTGTCACATGGAATCTATTTATACTTAACTCTAGACAACTCTAACAAGCCTAATTGGTTGACTTCCCTCAGCAGATTAAACTGAAAAAAAGAGAAGAAGCTACTATCATAGGCACACTGGGAATAAGGAAAATGACAGAAAGAGAAGAGATAGAAAAGGCAGAAAAGGCAGGCAGAAGACAATATTTAGTAAAGGGACAGAGTTCCTCATTCCCCTAATGACATCACTATATTGCAACACTCACTTGGTACTTACACCAAGTAATGTTGGTACTTTTGTGGCTCTGAGCCATACAGAAAAAGGCAAGTATGATTCAGTGTAATTCATCAAAGACTGAAAGGCATTTTACTGAAATATGTATGATTTTTTTTAAAAAAGAATTTCATCAAAAAATCTTTAAATGGAATTTTAAAGTATCAATGATACAGTAGTAAACTCTCAGATAAAACAATTGAATACTTAAAACAATTATTTGCTCAGATTTCTTTTTTTACTTTTACTTCCCCCCTTCCCCCCCAGTGCTGGGGATCAAATCCAGGGCAAGTCTCTGAGAGACAAAGTTGGTCCTAAGCCCCCTGAGACTTAAAGGATAGGACAACCCTGCTTAGTTGTTGTCTCAGTTACCTCGGTTACTGAGAGAAGACCATAGAGATATTTAATTGAAGCATTATAGAAAATTAATTTATGTAAAGTAACTGGTAGTCTTTAGTGAAAATGTGAAGCAAAACATGTCATTTTTCTTATAAACAAAAATATTACTTTAAATCCCAAGTAAAAATATATTCTCCTATCTCAACCTATGAGTCTTATCTCATTACTTTGTAGATGAGTTCTAACATCAGAAATGTGTTATTTTTATACTTTTAGAAAATGTGATAATTTTTAAAGGTCTTACATTAAAATTTGTTAAGTAAATGCTATGAAAAACAAAGTAAGAGGTGGGATTAGTTGTAATGTCAGCTAGTATTTAAGAGAATTTCCTTTGTGAAGCTTTTCTTGATTAATTGTGTCAAATTAGCATACAATAACAATATTTGTAGAGGGCAGAAAAGAATGGCATGAACATTTCTTCAACTCATAGAAATATAATTGTGGCTATGATGGATGCTACTGGTTGACTTATTCAAATAAATGAACAGTAAAGGGAACAAATAAAAATAGTTAAAACTATATTTGGACACATAAGGTTTAAAACTCAAAACTTACTAGTATGAGTATTTGCATTTTCATTTTTCAGAAAGTTGCTCTAGTTATTTAACTCATTGAGAAAAGGGTTACATTCTGTAAAGGCAGGGATTATATCCTTCATATTTTCATACACATTTACCTATCCCAGAAACTGGATTGAAAAAAACTTTTTAAAAAAGCTAGTTTAAAATTATAATGTTTATGGAAGCAATGCTTTGATAAACAAGCAAGATGAAATAAAGGTACTGACAAAGAAAATATTCCAGTAGCAGTGGCTTTCCTACTTCATTTGATACTCAGACTGTGAAGCTTCATCTCCTCCCAGACAAATCAATGGTGATGTCAACAGGTTGAAAGAATCACTCTAAAAGAAATGACTATCTCAGATTTCTGAAAAATCAAGTCCACTGAGAACATTTCAAATACTAGGGATTTAAATATATCTTTGAGTTCCAAATCATTATAATGTTTAGTCAAAATAACTTCACATTGTAAAGGAAGAATGGACTCTATGCCACTGTATAAAAATAAGATAAGGTTACTGTTCTAAAATGACTGTAGGCTGGGGATGTAGCACAGTAGTATTCACCTAGCATGTGTAAGGCCCTGGGTTCAATCCCTAGCACTGAGAAAGAAAAATAAAAGATGATGACTGTAACATGTTCTAGTCTTCCTATCACATGAGTTACAATACTGATGCTATTATACTTTTTCATATGACTTTTCAAATTCAATGCCTTTTATTCCTATTTGGTTTTAATGAATTTGTTAGCACAGTTCTTTAAATAAAGGTATTTTTGAAGTGAGTTAGTAAAGCAAGTATTTTACAATAATACCTGTAATGGAAAATTAAATTGACATTGCTTTTGGATAAAAGGTAGACTTTTCCTTCATCTTGGGTTTATGAATAGAGAAAACAATTAATGTATTTGGAATCCTGGGTTTGTGAATAGAGAAAAAAAATTGATGTTTTTGGAAAAAATTTTTTTTGTTCTAGTGCTGGGGATCAAACCCAGGGCCTTGTATATTATGCTAGGCAAGAACTCTACTACTGAACTATTGGAAAATACAGAAACTACATGAGACAACCCGGAATAAGTGTGAGGAAGCAGGAGTTTCAAATAAAAAGATAAAAAGTTTCAAATAAAAATCTCTTGGGATTTATAAGTAGGCAAAAAAATTTTAAAATAAGTGTTGACACGGTGACTTACATTTCTCTCTATGTAATAAGAGGAAGTAGACCCATTCATTTGAAGGGCCAGTTTTTTTTTTTTATATCCTAAAAACTGAAGAGGAATTATCAGTGTAATTCCTTAAATAAGGGGTCCTGAATACATACTGGACAAAACATTAGATTGCAGTTTTATAAAGATACATGACATTAAAATGGACAATTCTTTATATAATGCTCTAGAAAACCCAAGACCAGTATACTAGCCTATAAGGCAAAAACAACATTTCTAAGGTACCTCATGCTAACCCACCAGATGGTCCCTGTAGAGATCAACTATACAATGGCAGAGAGAAAAGGATAGCTACATTATCAAATTTTCTTTTTAGATGTCCCAGGGTTTAACTGAGCTTCTGCCTAGAGTTGAGCTACTGTCAATTAATTCATGGTTGAACTGACAAATGCCTTAAGAGACACATTATCTAAAGTTGATTAATTTATGATCAAAATGGTTCAGCTATATAATGAGCAGGAAGCAAGTTTGATGTTCTGCTCTGAAAAGAAAGAAATCCTGTGGATCTTCTCAGCCAGGTGAAAGGTTGTTCCACTTTCCCACAAAGTTGGATTTTCTCAAAAATGACTTTTTAATCTATCAAAAAGAACTACTTGAAACTGAATAATTCATTTTACATCTCAGGAAATTTGGATAAAGGAAATCAAAAAGATTATTTTGGCCTGAAAAGTATTTAAGAAAAGTTGTCCCTCATTAACCTCTCAACCCTAAGCAAACCTCAATGTGAACACAGAGGGGCGTCTGATTGCATTTTAATGTTCCTTTCTGACCAGGAACCTCCAGCATGTGAATGGGCCTGACATGTGTTACCAAGAGCTAAAATGAACTGCTTGAAAATTAACAAATTCCATCTCAATTTTCTCTCTTTTGAAAAATAAACAACTCCCCAAACCAAGAAACCAAATCCAAGGTTAGATAAAGATACAGTTTAAAATCTGAAAAAAAAATTTCAGCTGACTACCTTCCAATACATTTCATAATCTGATAGAGAATTCTTTCTCACATAAAGTCTTTGCAACAGTATTAATATATCATTTTATAAGCTTTAATTATTTGTCCTTTTCCATGGTGTGTATGTTGTTTAAAGAACTAGAGAATTGGACAGAATAAAGTGGACAGAAGTGAATTACTGTAATCAGCTACATTTAATACCGAGCTGCCCTGTGTTAACAATGAGACTGTGAGTATTGGCTGACTCACCATCCTGGTACCCATGTGTCCACTGAACACATCTCTCCCAGTGTACCCTTCATAACCAGGGCATGTATTACAAGATGTCAAGGGTTAAGTGTACACACAGAGGGTACGAAACAGGGTCATACTCACTGGTCAAAACAGTAAGTCATTATTTTTTTCTTTTACTAGATTAATTACTAAATAATATACCAGGTACAGAAAAGTCATAGTTCCTATTTGAAGGAGCTAGAGTCTAACGCATACTTCTCAAGCCCAGTTTCAGGCTGGAATCACTCAAGGAGTTAAGCCAACAATAATAAACCTTTGTCCAGGTTCAGCCCTAGAGATTCTGATTTAATTGGTCTGGAGTGGAGTAAGTATCAGTATTTTAAAAGTTCCTGGCATGATTCTAATATACAACTATCCTATTGGGTGGAAGAGATCAGTTAGTAAGCAGATGTAAGTGCTGTTTTCTAAATTAATCAGTTGAGCTCATGTTTAAAAGTTGGCCTGGCTTCTTGTCTCATAATCCTTCAAGACTCCACCATGAGGTCCTTGGGCACATATTTGCCTTCTCAGCCTTCCCAGGTTCTGGGCCAACCAATATTTAAGACACTAGGATTGCACTGTGCCCTTGGTTACTAGGTTGTCAACTTAATACCAACTCATTATCTCTTCTCGTAGTGCATTCTCCTACCTGTCTTGCTTGTGACCAAGTCTGAGCTTCTGTAACCCAATTCCTGCTTAGGACCCTGTCTGGTGTTTATGTTCTCCTGCCCTTCACCTAATTCTCCTACCCATCTCTCTGTTTCTCTGGTAAGAACACCTGTAGTCAAACTGCCAGCCTATTGACCTCCAGATCACCTGTTATACCTTGGCAAGTCTCTTCTTGTCTCATAGCTGACCTGGCTCACCTAGCTTCTACCTCTTTCCTGGGCCTAATGCAATTGGCCTCAGGTGCAGTTTTAAAAATAACAAATGTCAAGAAGAGAATGTCTTTTTACATACCAATAAATCTACACTATATATATTTCAACTTATTCTATTTCTAGGCATCTTAAGCTAAAGAAGTTCTTGGGAAAGAACAACACAGTCTATTATCTGGATCCTCATTGCCAACACAATTAGTCTTTGTAGCAGTGGCTGGGTGACATCTGCTTGCATAATTTTTGACTTCAAGGGAGGCCAGTGATCCTATCAAACCCAGTGAATTAAGTTAACTTTTAACTGAATTCAATGACACTTGGGGTATCTTGTTAGATATATTTGTGGTTTGCCAGTACATGATAAGCTTTATTTTCTACCTGAAATTTTAATAATGTAGCCAATGTGTTATTCTGAAATAGCAACCCAAGTATCATATCACACATCTTGAAATTGATAACATGCTTCCCATACACTACCCCATTATTCTATTCTAGCATAAATAAATAAGCAAAAGTAATACACTGCTATTTAATAAAATTTAAAAATAGATACAATTTTAGATCATATGTAAGTTTTTTTTTCTATAAGAACTCACAAAACCTTTGTATAGTTTATTTAGCCTATTCAGCTATGTAGACTATTTTACAAACATCTATTCTATCTCTCATCACAAGATGTTGTAAACCCTGGCATTTCCACTAGATTGTAAACCCTGTGAGTGGCACAGATGCCACACTATTCCCAACGTACACACAGCACCTGGTATGTGGCAGGTGCTCAAGAAACACAAATTTCAAGAATGAACGTGCCTGGTGCTTATAAAACAAGTCCAATGTCACCAGAGTTTTGGTGCTCCTGCAAGGAAAAGTATTTTGACTTTGTATACCCAAGGATTTTTTTCCTAAGCCATGGGCCTTTAGTTCTTGGATGGGTTAGCCTGGGGCTGCACCGTGCGTCCATGTCTGCAGCTGTTGCTTGGAGTTATATTCCAGGAGTGGAAAGGTCACTGCCTTATTCCAAATCAGTGAAATAAAATGCTCACCTAAGAGCACACTAGCACATCCTTCTTGGTTGGCAAAATTTCTCTAGTGATGACTGTTAATGTCATGCCTGGCTACCTGCCATTCTGAGGTTATTGATGAGAAAATAAAAACTGATTTGAGCTTTCTTCAGTCAACCCAACTACAACTATATGAGTATAGATACTCATATAGTATCTAAATGTTCTCATGAGGGTACTTGAGTCCTTGCACATGTCCATTTGGTACCTTTAATGTCCACACTGTAAACAACAGAAGGGACTGATTTCTATAGGAATATATGTCCTGTTGTCTTTGCGTGCCATCTTTTACCTACTGTATCCATTCCTAGCATTTTTCTGCTTTCTCATGGAATTTTTCATAGGTTGCTTCTATGAAGTATGGCCCTTTCCCCAGACATCTGTCACACTTTTGGAAAGAAGGTCATTTTTGTCAGATCCATATCTAACAAACTAGCTATAAGAGTAAATGAAAAGAATTATAAAGAAATAGGATGAAAGAGGTAGATAGTTCCTCAAAGGGCACATCATTTATTCTTTTCAAGTTACATGTAGTAAAAGTAGGGTTTCTTATGCTTACATTTTTTTCTCATCAGGAAAATAAATATGACATTATATATCTGCTCTTTATTTCTGATAATAGGGACACATTAAGGTGAAAAAGCTTGGACTAGAAAGAATATAAATTTAAAAATAAGTGGTTAATTTTTTTAGCCTGACTTGTTTCCAGTACTTTCTTTTATAAAACTTTAATGAACTGAAATATGTAACTTTAAAAATGATACAGGCCAAATGATTAGAAGTTACTGTTATGTAATCATCTGAAACTATGTGAACAACAAACACTATCAACTTTGTTCCCATAATAAAGGAAAGACGGTCTTCTCTAGTCCAACCGTAGCATCTTTGAACTTGGAAGTGAGGATTACCTCAGTTCTGCAGACCATTCAGGCAGGACCACTGTTAGTTCGGTCTAGAAACTATGGCTGTGGCTTAAATCTGGCCCGTTGCTCTTTGAATGTGACCCACAGCCAAGAATAGGTGTTCAATTTTTAAATAGTTGAAAGAAAAGATTAATATTTCAAGACATGAGAAGATTATGTAGAGTTCTAATTTTATAATGCATACAATTCATGATAATATACGATGTATGTGTGTAATGCACATAAAAATGTTTTACTGGAACACAGTTATGCTTATTAGTTCATGTATTGTCTATGGCTGTTTTCACGCTATGGCAGAGCTGAGTAGTTGTGGGAGGGACCATATGGCTGTAAAGTTGAATATATTTATTATCTGGCCCTTCACAGAGTTTGCTGAGCCCTTGTTTAACTTAATAGTTACAACTACATGCTTTCTATATTTGTTTAAGGATTGTCATGGATTCCTCTATGATTGGAAAATATCTTAGGGGACTTAATGGACAGGACATAACAGGAACGACTTCCAGTATGTATCCTTGGAAGAGCTGTTTCAGGAAGCATAATTTGATTCAGAATTTCTATCTTTAAGTGTGAACCAGAATAGCCTCTGGACCACTTCAAACCTGACTCATTCCTGTTCCTAGGTGCCTAAGAAGCTATAAATGATTGCCATGTGCTAAGGTCATATAAATCAATTACTCAGATGGCATAGACATTGATGATCTTGAGAATCAGGAAAGACATAGAAAAGTAGGTTAAATGTTATTTCACCATCTTACACAGATGAGATGAATATTTTTTTTTGGTGAGAATCAAACTCAGGTCCTATGGATGCTAGGCAAGCACCCTACCACTGAGCTATACTCCCAGCCTAAGATGTGTCTTAATGAAAATGTAAAACACCCACCTGGACGGGTTTCTGCCACAACAGGGCCAGCAAGGTCAGAGGGCTTTCCAACACCTGCCTGGTTGATGGCACGGACACGAAACACGTAGCTGACACCCTCCTTAAGGCCTTGCACCTGGAAGAAATAGGTATACAAGCAATAGGTGTTCTTTGTCATTTAAACAGATGTGTCCTTCCTCTGTGATGACAATGTAGTCATACAGTGCCAAGGGTATAGCACTTGTGCTCTAGAACAGATTACATCTATGACTAATTGGGTGGCTTTGGCTTTAGACTGTCTCCTCTTTGGACCAGCTGTCAGCAGATGATATGGTTCTAAGACCCCTTCCGACTCTGACATTGTACCTCCCTTAGATACTCTAATGACTTCCAGTATTAGAAATATGTATAGATACACACATAAATATACACATACATATGTTTATATACACATATATGTATGTATGTATATGTACATCTACATATGCTTTAAATGAGCTGGCAGCTTTATTCTTTGGTCAAAAAAGGCAAAATACAGGCTAGTGGAGTGGCTCAAGTTGTAGCATGCCTGCCAAGCAAGCATGAGACCCTGAGTTCAAACCCCAGTGCTGCCAAAAAAAAAAAATACAAAGTGCTGACAGTAGCATACATGATGCCTTCTTCCCCCAGCCCTGATCCTTTTGAGATATTTCAAGAATAATATCAGATGAAATTCTTGACAAAAGAGGAGAATTAAAGGCATGTTAAAGCACTAGAAAACAAATAAACATTGTTCTTGTAAATTTAATTGCTCTGTTTCTCACTAATTAGACAAGACATTAACATAATAGGGAATTTAAGTAATTTGTGAATTATCAAGTGTATTAAAATTCTACATTCTTAAGTTTGTTTGTTTTTTGGTGATACTGGGGGTTGAACTCAGGGCCTTGCATTTGCTACTACTTAAGTCGTTCAGCCAGCCCTTTTTGCACTGGTTATTTTTGAGACAGGGTCTTGCTTTATGCCTGGACCATTATCCTCCTATTGTGCTTCCCTACACAGCTGGTATGACCAGCATGCACCATTGTGCCCAGCCATTGGTTGAGATGGGGTCTTGTGAGCTTTTTACCAAGGCTGTCCTCAAACTGCAATCATCCCTGGTATCTACCTCCCAAGTAGCTACAATTTCAGGCCTGAGCCACCAGGCCCATCATCAAGTTTTTCAATCATCGAGGTGTTTGCTGAGAACCTACTTCATAATTTTTTGTGACTTTCTTTGTGTTCTGCACTGTCCCATTACGATTCCCAATACTAATAACACTGGCTAATATTTTATCAAAATTATATTTTTATGTTTAAAACAAATATGTATTTAAAATATATATTAAGAAGGAATTTTATTATCCATAGAGGGCATAACTCTCCCCTATCACCAATGCTGTAATGGAGATCAATAACCAAAATGTGGCTTAAATCAAATAATTAGGTGACGTATTTGTGACCATGTATTTAAACCGGGTATTCAGTAAATTGTTAGGTTTTTAATCTATCTGATGGTATCGTGTTGGTGACAACAGAATGCTACCATTTTTTTGTAGTGATAGTTTTCATTGGAGATAGTGGATTTTTAAAATGAATTTCAATCTGAAGTGAACTTGAACTCAGACTAAATGGATAGAATTTGATGCATTTCAGATTTTATGTTTAGAAATAATGCCAGTAAACTATGAACTTCCAGAAAGGAACAGAAACATTTCCTTGTGATTAAAAATAGGCTGATCTCCAGGTGCCTGACATATCTGCACCTGTCATATAGGTGATGGGTGGCTGTGAGTCAGGTTTCTGTGGCATACAGGAAGGAGATCTACATTCTGATTTGTAGTCACTGGTGTGACAGGATCACACCTCCACTCTTCTATCACCCTGAGGACAAGGATCACTGGCTTCTACAGCACCACAAATATGTAATGTACAGCTACTCTCTTTTCCTTGGATTTTTTTTCCTTCCCTATAATTTGAAAAGGAACCATGGTCCCTTGCCTTCTCCATCCACATTGCAATCACTCCCTTCTTATTACCCTGGCTCACCAGGCTGTAATTATTAATATGAAAGGAAAAAAAGAAAGTGTGCATTGTGTCTAGCTAAATCTCGTTTGAAAGCAGTGTTGCAATTTTCTGAATGATTGGGTGAAGTCACGTTTCATTGTAATTGGATTCATACACCACAATGGTTTCTGAGGGTCCTATTGTGGATTCAGGGTCTTCAGGTGCTCTGCCAGTAACTTGGGAAAACATGCTTTTGAGATTTCCATCCTGCACAAGTGAGTGATTTGGTGGCAATACTGCAACAGTCTTTGCTAGCAAGAGTTATGCACACTGGTTCAGTTAGCACACTCTAGTGGAATCCAGAGGGCAATGACATGGCTAAAGTCACGAGTTGAATGAACCCATCCCACTAATCTCTGATTGCTCACATGGGCACAAACGTGAAGGAGCAGTGAAGTGAGACAGCATAACTCAAAAGAACCTGCAGTTACAGGTATACTGGTGTGAACAGTATAAAAATGGTACCCTCAATTAAGAAGTCAACTAGAGGTAGGAGAGAAAAAGTCACCTTTGGGGAATGGTAACAAGAAGTAATGTTTTAAGACTGTGGGCAAAAAAAATGTGAGGGAAGTAAAGCTGAAAAGAGGAAGAAGGAGCAGGTAGATGTTTTTCAAAGCCAGGCTAAGGAATTCAGGTGAATTCCTTTCAAGCACCAAGAACCCTACCCCACCCCCCCACCACCAATCCTAACCACTGACAAGTAGAATCTTACCAGGAGCCAATATATGAAACAGACCAAGGCAGAGATACTTACACTTGCCAACTTTAAAGTTAATATTAACTTTTTTGAGGAAACAAGCATGCTCTGAGTATTCTCCTACCTTTAGGTATTTGTTTTTAATGGCTGCCTCATTGAGTCCTCGCCATTGGTCATCTTTGGCATTAGCCTCCTTTAAGTCCACAAAAATAACCAGTGACTGGAGTCCGTCCAGAGTAGACTGGAGGTTTCCATTGGAGAACCAGGGAGTTCTTCCTGACTTCACTGTATTTAAGACTGTGAGGTGGTCCTGACAGAGAGAGAAGACAATGAATAGAAATCATAAGGTAGATAAGAAAACTCAAATATGTATAAATTTACAACCACATGTAAGGTCTTACAGCTGAATGTGACACTGGTGTTCCTTTTTTAAATCAAGCATTCCCATGAAAGTATGTATGTTGCAGTCATTTCATATAAAGTTTCCACAACTGCTCTGCATCAACTTATTAAGTCCTGGGGGGCAGGTGGACAAGGACATGTCAAGGTTCTTCTTGGAGCTGGATTACAACTCCCTTTAGGCTATCCCCAGGCCTGTGGTTTTTACCTTTCCTCAGTACAGTTTGGTGTAGTGACTGATTCAGGTAAATTTTTAAAAACATTTTTATATTAGTTGTACAGGAGACTTTATTGTGACATTTATGTATATGCTTACAATGTACCTTGGTTAGGTTCATCCCTACCATCATTCTCCCTCATCCTTCCCACTCCTCCACTTAAAATGATTTCAACAGGTTTCATTGTTTCAGATTCTTTTTATTAATTTTTCTTCATTAAACTTTTTATTATTTCTTAGTATTATCATTTTAAAAATTATTTTTGATTGAGAGTCTCAATCTCCAGTAGTTTGAAGAAAGCAACTCTATTTGAAAGCATATGAATATAGATAGTAATAGTTCTTTCAAAGAAAAAAGGAGTAACTTCCATTTAGAGAGACTCTTTTCCCTGAAGTATATACCTCACACATGGGTAAAAATGAATGAAAGCTTACAGTTTGTGAAAAAATTTCACCGAAGTAGTGAGATTTTTTTGTGGTAGTACTGGGGTTTAGAACTCAGGGCCTCATGCTTAACTAAGCAAGGTACTACTATCACTTGAACCACTCCACCTGTCCAAACCAAAGTAAATATAATTGACCCCATGGACCTTGAATCTGTGCTTCATACTATCAGGCACTTTACATTGACTGATCTCAAGCATCCTTAGGAAATTAACAAAATGCTCCCAGAAGGCAAATAACTTGATAACCCCTGAAGGATCAGTCAGGATACGCCCTATGTGTGTGCTCTGCATTCTTGGCAGAGTCCAAACTACTCTGTGATCATTCCTATCTTTGTGTGACTACCAGCTGCTATTTAGGTGATTCTTTTTTCTTTTATTTCAAATTACAAATGATTTCTAACCAACCAATCAAAATCACCTGAAGCAACAACAAATACAGACTCTACCATGCTCGACTTTGATGTTTTGCAACTGATAGTTCAATATTTGACCATTTACTCTGGCTTACCAGTTTCAAATATGCATCATCTCTATAGTCTGACGTCTTGTATGGAAATATATTTAAATATTAGCACTTTACCATGGTGTGACATGTAGAGGTAAAGGTGGCAGTGGGTGCAGGACTGTTGTCTACCGAGGATGCCCTAATGTGACCTAGGGAGCTCAGGTGGTCTATGATGGTACCATGCTAGTTATTAGATATGTTGAGCATCAAACCTAGGAGGGAGAATTAAGTCATCATGTGCCAATCAAAGTATTTGGGTCTCTGAAATTAGTACCATCAGAAGCACAATAATGCTATCCCCCAAATACATTGACATGGTTAGTTTGAAACTTATTGCTTAGTAAATTTGTTTGTATTCAATTTTTACATTTGTTTGGTTTTACAGTTTTAGAAGAGGTGTAAGCCTAGGTAAGGTTTTCTTCCCCTTTCTAATATTATTTCCTGCTTCTCCAAATACCCTCTATGACAACTTCCAAAGGAGAGAGACGGAGAGAGAGATTGGGAAGTCATAGAACCAAGTGCAGAAAAGGCAGATTTATATCTCAGGAAGGCATGTTAAATCCAGATATGTAACATAATCAAGAACTGGGAGGAGGCCAGAGGACAGATAACAAGGAGAAGCCACAGAAGCCATGTCTGGAGAGAGAGCTTTGGGGGGGTTGATAAGTGACACTTCAGAGCAATGGGAGAATGTATATTCAGGAAGACGTTTTTGATAAATTTTGCTGTGGGACATGAATTGTATGCTTTTTAATTGACTTTAAGAAGCAAAAGTGAAGACTGCAATTCTTTGTAAATGCTCATTTGGCACTCAAATTGTATACTTCTGTCAGACCTATTCCAAGGAGAGTCAGAGCAATGGGGGCTCTGGGATTTATTTGGAATACAAGCATAAGGATCTTATTCTCAATTTTATATTGCTATGTATTATTTAGTATTATCATAAAAGTATTTTAGGTAAGCATGATAGGCCAATAGAATTCTTTTCCCTTAAAAAAAGAATTCTTTTCTCTTGGATGTTATATGTATAATATTTCATTTAGTTTTAGACTGTAAGTTCTGCTGGAAGAAACTTTTAAGTTCAGTACTCAACATGGTTTCCACGGTTTACCTGGAACAGCAATGGTCCACTCTTCACATTTGAAGCATTCACTTACTGCTGAGGGAGCCCCCAATCCAGCAATGTTCATGGCTGCCACTTGGAATTGATATACCATGTTTTCCTTCAAGTCACTGATCTGAAACATCAAAAACATTCCAGGTAGTGAATGTCTCAGGATTGTATCTTCTAGTTGGTTAACTTTTATTTGCCACCTGTGTCAGACACACTCTATGGTGATCTCACTTTTAGTTGTTCAACATTTTATTTATTTACCTCTTGTGTTGGATACAGCCTTGGGTGACTGCCATGAGTCACACTGTTTTGTAATGTCCTCTGGAATGTAGGTGAACTCATGACCTGCTTGTAGCCTAAAGAATATGGCAAAGGTATTGGAATATCAGTCCTATGATTAAATTACACCATATGGCAAAGGAGAAAGGATATTACAGATATAATTAGGGTTCTTAATTAGTTGATTTTGGGTTAATCAAAATGGAAAGGTTGGGGATGTGGCAAGATGGTAGAGCATGTGTTAGGCTCAGGTTCCATCCTGGATGAGCCTGGCTTACTCAGAGAAGAACTTTTAAAATGGAGCTTAGGTCCTTCCTCAAGAGAATCATTGTTCTAGTGGCCTTGAAGAAGCAAATGTGATTCTGTGAGCTTCCTAGCCATTTGCATTTGAAGAGCAGTATCTCAGAGTTGAAGGCCTTAGCCCTATAGCTGCAAGGAAGTGAATTCTGCCAGCAACTCACACATAGCTTAGAAGAGGAACTGAAACCCTGGATGAGAATGCAACCTAGATGGAGCTGTTCTCAGGCTCCTCGCTCATGGACACTATGACTAGAAAAAGTGGATCATTTTAAGTCACAGAGGTCATGAATCCTCAGTGTTCCCTACAATGTTTGCCATTGAGAACTGAGTGTGGATGTCATAGGATTACTCCTTATCTATTATCATTTTCAATTGGAAGAAACAGTCATTTTTGGGAAAAAAAAGTCCTTTACTTCAAAGAAACATGTGCCTCCTATAAAAAAACCATCTAAGTTGAATCTTGACTGTTCTTTACAATGCTTGCCTTTGAGAACCGAGTGTGCTTTTCAGAGTAGTACTCCCTATTTATCACTCTTTTCAATTAGAAGCATTCATTTTTAGGAAAAATGGTCTATACTACTGAATTTCAGGGCAACAGGTAACTGCTACAGCAAAACCATCTAAGTTAGAATCTTGAGTTATCTCTACCATGTTCCTCTTTGAGAACTGAGCATGTGTATCAGAGGAGTCCTCCCTATCTATCACTGTTTGAAATTGGGAGGAACATTCATTTTTGGAAAATCAGGCCTATACTATGAATTTAAGAGAAACATGTAACTTCTATCACAAAATCATTAATGGTAGACTCTTGAGTGTTCTCTACAATGTTCCCCTTTGATAACTGAGTGAGTGTGTCAGAGCATTACTCTCTACCTACCTCTGTTTTCAGTTGGGACAAAGATTCATTTTGGGGAAAAAAGGCCTAAACTGCTGAGTGTCAGAGAAACACGTAACTCCTATCACAAAACCATTGAAGGTAGAATCTTGAGTATTCTCTACAATGTTTCCCTTTTTTAACTGAGTGTACATGTCAGAGGATTACTCCCTATTTATCACCATTTTCAATTGGGACAATCATTCATTTTTGGGGAAAAAGGTTAATACTCCTGAATTTCAGAGAAAAATGTGCCTCCTATAACAAACCACAACCTAGAATCTTGACTGTTCTTTATAATGTTCACCTTTGAACTGAGTGTGCTTTTCACAGGCTTCCTCCCTATGTATCATTGTATTCAATTTGGAGAAACATTCACTTTTGGGAAAAAAGGCCTATTCTGCTGAATTTCAGAGAAACATGTAACTCCTATATCAAAACCATTCAAGGTAGACTCTCGAGTGTGCTCTACAATGTCCCCCTTTCATAAGTTAGTGTGCATATTAGAAGATTACTCTCCACCAATCACCATTTTCAATAGGGAATAACATTCATTTTTGGATAAAAGGCCTATACTAACCATTTCAGAAAAACATGTTACTCTGATAACAAAACCATCTATGTTAGAATCTTCAATGTTCTCTGCAAAGTTCCCCTTCAACAACTTTCAATACATATTGTTATATCCTCTTCCTTCACAGATGTTATGTTTTACAATATTGTTGACACTCTGTCTTTTCCTTTCCCTCCTTCCCCAAGTTCCATAGAGTAGTTCCACTATTACAAACACATTCTACATATGAGATTGTATTTGATGATGTTTGTCTTTGTGTACATTTATCTTTTGTATCTATCTTCCACACGAGAGAAAACATGTGGCCTTTGTCTTTCTGAACCTGGCTTATGCCACTTAACATGATGTCTTTTAATTGCATTCCTCTACCTTCAAACCATATGGTGTCATTCTTCCTTATGAATGAATAAAACTCCATGGTACATATATACCATTCATCTATTGTAGGGCATTTGGGTTTCCATAGCTTGACTATTGTGAATAGTGCTATGATAAACATTGGCATGTAAGTGTCTCTACTGTATCCTGATTTACAGTTCTTTGGATATATTCCCAGGAGTGGTATCACTGGATCATATGGCAGTTCTATTCTTAGCTTTTTGAGGAGTCTCCATACTGCTTTCCATAATTTTGTACTAATTTGCATTACCACCAACAGTGTATAAGGGTTCCTGTTTCACTACATCCTTGCCAGCATTTGTTGTTGTTTTTGCCCTTGAATATGGCCATTCTAACTGGGGTGAGATGAAATCGTACTTACTATAGCTTTGATTTGTATCTCTTTTATAACCAGGGAAGTTGAACACTTCATGTATTTACTGGCCATTTGTACCTCTTCCTTAGAGAATTCTCTGTTTAATTCATGTGCTCATTTCTTCATTGGGATATTGATTCTTTGGGGGTTGAGTTTTTTGAGTTCCTTGCAGACTCTGTATATTAGTCCCTTATCAGATGAATAGCTGGCAAAGATTTTCTCCTATTCTGTGGGGAATACTGAAATTCTTATAATGTTTCTGCTCTTTACCTAATGTGTTCTATATCCCTCAGCAGGATTGGGTCGTTGTGAGGGCACATAGTTAACCATTTGCAAAATAGAAATTATGGGATATATTAGTGTGAAAAAGTTTGCAGGACACAGTAAACTAGGAAATATGTAAAATGTGATCTGTGAAAAACAAAAAAATGCATCAAGAAAAAAATAATGGATGTGTTCAACAGACAAATTAGATGCAAAAGAAAAGAGAATTTATAAACTGATAGAAAGTCAGATCATACTGCTGAAAGACTAAGCTGAGAAAGAGAGAAGAGTGGTTAATAGATATGGAAGACAGAGAATTCAAACATATATTTAATTAAAGTTTTGAGAGGAGAGAGAGAATGGGTAGAAACAATATTTTAGGAGATAAAAGAATTTTCTGAAAACTTCTTCCTGAAAGAATTCAACTCACAGACTGAAAACCCTCTTCCCACCAAAAAAATGTAGGCAGGATTTTTAAAAAGTCCTATCTAGACAGATAATATCTTAACTGTACCCCACCAAAAGCAAAGTGAAAATATTATAGGTGCTGGCAGCTCATGCCTATAATCCTAGCTACTTGGGAGGCAGAGTTCGGGATGATTGTGGTTCAAAGTCAGCACGGGCAAGACCCTATCTCGAAAAAACTCATCATAAAGATATAGAATCCAAGATGGCGACAAGAGGGAGGAAGCAGACAGCATGAGCTCCGTAAATAAAAAATCTTACTGAGACACTGGAGCCACACTTGGCAGAAAAAAACCACCAAGAACAAGCAAAACTCTGACACCCCGAACCCCCAGCCTGTACAAAGCTTCTCCACACCACATTACACTGAGAAGACAGGAGGGCTCCTGCACTGCCAGATGCCGGCTCCAAACCTTCTTGGGAGACACAGACCAACAGGTGAGCAAATAAGCAGCACACAGTATTCCCACAGCTACCCCTGGGATATACCAGCATAGCCCCCTGGACAGACTGACCCCGTGCTGCAATAAAAAACAAAGCAAAAAACTGAATAATAACCAAGGAACTGAAAAGGAACACGTAGCACAGGGGGTGGGGTGCTCTGAGTGCACTGGAGAAGGGGGGAGCAGCAAGGAGATGATCTCTGCATGAACTTTCAGTAAACAAAGCCTGGAAAGGAAGAGGGCTGACAGTGGGTGGGTGATGAGCTACTGCCTGAAATAGGGCAGATAGGAGTCCACAAAGCTCATCTCCTGAACCAGTGAGCTACATCCAAAGTCAAATGACATTGCAAAATTGAAAAACAGTCAACAAACTAGCATAACACGCTGACAGCAGAGAGCCAGCTGACGGATCTCTAACCTTGCCCCAGAGAAAGGGCATGAAGCAAAGTAACAAGCCCCCAATAAACCAACACAGCAAGAACCCAACTCCAAAGCAGGACAGCTAGTGGGCCACAGAGCTGATCTCTGGAACCTGAGGATGAGCTACACCTCACTGAGGGAGGAGCTGACTAAGTAGCTGCCGCTGAAAGACAGGAAAAAAAAAAAAAAACTGGCCAGTCTCCCCAACCACCTGGTGAGACTAAGACAGTGCTTCTGTTTAAATACCAACACCAGGACTGGATGCTGAAGGAGTAACACCAGAACTACTAAGACTGAAATTCTATTGTTCTTGAACCTGGAATTTTTTTTCTCTAAGTGTTTGTTCGTCCACCATCTCTCTCTGTTGATTTCTATGATTCTCTATTTTTTTTCTTTTTCTTTTTTCTCTTTCTTTCTATGTTTCATTAGTTTTACTATTGTAAGTTAGCTAATACTAAATTACACACAGACCAGGGACAGAAACAGCACCAAGTGGAACAATGAGAAGACGAAAAAGGGATGGAAACTATTCTCCCCCCAAAAATAAATTAGTAAAGGATTCAGAGGGAAATGAAGAAAATGGATACCCAGTTCCAGACTCCAACAAAACAAAGATAAACTATCCCAAGGAACCTAACGAAGCCCACAAGAACACCCTGAAAGGAGAAATCCTGCAAGAAATCACTGAGAATTTCATGGAGATGTTACTAGACATGGTTAACCAAAATGTACAAAAAGAACTCCAGAAATT